ATTCCCTGGATTTGAAGGTTCGTGCAGGAATCAATAAGTTTTCTTCTCTTAACGTCAACTAGTAGGTTGTAGAAACTTAGAAAATCTGCACCTAGTATAGGGTGACGGACATCCGCAATAATGAATACCCAGGTTAAATTACGTCTAATTCCCAAGTCTAATGTTAGAAATTGTTCACCAAATGTCTTTATTTCGGTTTTATTAGCTGCTCTTAGGGTATATTTTCCACTCTTAGCAATAGGTTTATTGGCTAAGGTAACTGGGATGACACTAACTTCAGCTCCAGTATCTACTAAGAATTTGTAGCCTGAAGTTTTATCAAGAACGTGGAAAAGACGAGTAGGCGCACGACCAGAAACATTTGTCGCTACCATGGTTTGGTTGACACGTTTTGGTGAGGAAAATGACTTGAAAAATTTACAAGACGTAACACATTTCCTGGCTCTGTCACCATATTTTTTATGGTACCAACATATGTTGTCGTCGTTTTTGTTTCCTTTTGAGTTATCTCGATTCTTACTCCCTCGAGAACAAGAACGAGGTCTTGTAGATGTGAAATTGGAGATTAATAATTGTAGTGCATCCAGTTTATTTTCAAGACTAGCGACAGTTCGTTCATGATGTGCTCGCAGTTCGCCTAGCTCAGCAGTTAACGATGCCATGGTGGGAGTTTGCTTATCGTTCGAAGTTTCTAATATTGTCTGTACGTAAGGTGTAGTACAGGGTGTAACTTCTAAAATTTTATCGGCCATGTTAGAAAGACTCTCTAAATCTGATGGTTGGCTAGAGGCGCAAAGAATTTGCCTAACTACTGTTGGCAAACGTTGTAGCCAAATCTCCTTGAGGAAGGCGTCATCAAATTTATAAGGGCCAGCTAATTGTCTCATGTGTCGTAATAATTGAGACGGTGATTTGTCGCCTAGCTCACAATCGTGCAGTAATTGCTGTAATCTCTTTTCATCAGATAATGAGGTACGTTGAATAATTGCCTGCTTCAATTGATCATATGGATTAGGTGCAGGAATATTATCTATCAAATCTGACACCTCAGATGCAACTTCAGTGGGTAGTAATCCAAGCACAAAAGAGTATTTAGATGCCTGTGAGCGTATGTTGCGACGCTGAAATTGTACTTCTACTTGCGCAAACCAAATGCGAGGATTTAATCGGCTGAATGGGGGCACATTTATCAAATTTAGAGCGTGTAGCTCTGCTGAAATGTTATCCTGGCTAATGCCTTCAGTTTCGGATGAGTACATTACAAATATACGAAAATTTAAATACTACCAAGGGTAAAATAACGCCGTAATGTCTGTAAGTGAACTCAAAAGTAGTTTCGAGTAAAAAAAATTTTATCGGGCTCACCAAATTTGTGGTGGTTCCCAAACAAAAGGAGCTTACACAAAATATATTGATACACTAGGTTAACAATGATATACCAAAACAAATTAATGGCAAAGAAACCTAGATGTCTGTCCGTTAGTAAAAACAAAGGTAATAAAATACCGTTAGCAATACAAAAGGTATATTAAACAAACAGACGCTAACAGTTACTATAGAATGAATGTTACTTGTTAACTGCCACGTGAGAACAACGACCACAAACTGAGTTCACTTGATTGACAGGTGTTCCTCTGCAAGTGACTGCACCAATGACGTAATGAGGAAGACGGAGTCCAATAGTATTATACAATAGTAAACCGCGCCAAAAGTCCAACGTTGAGTCGGAAGGCCTATAATGATGTTATAATACTATTATAGTCTTCAATCAAAACGGTGGCCAATAAAACAGAAGAACAACGGCGTAGATAGTGTTCTATATTTTAAACAACGCGGTAGTAGTCTCGTATATCATTCATCGAAACAAAAATTATCGTCTTTTTAACAAGTGATACAGCAAAACAACAGATATTGAATAAAAATGTGGTTACAAATAAGGTGTGACAAATTAGAGAAAAAATGTGGTTTTTATTTTTGTTGTTACAAAAATCACTGAATATATGTCACCATAAGATAAGGACTCCAACTTCCGCGCCAGTGTCTATAAGATAGTAAATTCTCGTCATCTCATCATTTATGTACAACGAAAGTATATTCAGAGGCTATTGTTTCAATTAATGCGTGCAGACAGGTTGTGGTAATAGATTCGACGTTCACAAAAAACAAAGTTTCATTTAATTTCTGCAAGATTTACAGTGAGTGCTTAAGTACAGACAATAATCAAGGTTATCTGTTCGTTGTCTAGAAACAGATCTTTTGCGCGATGAGGTTCTTTGATGGGGTTTTAGATCGTATGAATTCATTTCGAAGGCTAAGAAAATGACTGCTTTCACGGAGATTTGTAATTTATTTTGTGATCGACTGAGGCTTTACCGTTACAGACCAAACCTTTAATCTGGGAGCTTTCGTGAGTGCTATAACCCGGCCACTAAGAACGTTAGTTTGAAGTGAGATAGCAACCGCTTGGACTTGGTGGAAAAGCCTAGACATAAAGTTGTCTAAAGAGGTCGTTGTCAAAAGTCTGGTGATCATTGACTTCTCTCATACATAACGACATATATGCCATTGAGACGTGCCGATATTTAATTGTGTTGATCCAATATACATTTTAGACTCACGTGATAATATCATCACTGGTGCGAGGAGCTGGGCATACAAATCGGTCTCTCTGTGCTTCTGGAACTCAGCATCCGGATAACAGCATCACACCTCGGCGCTATCAGGACAAAATGGCACGTATTGTAGGTCGACGAAAGCGGGATAATCCTTAGAACTTTCGGTGTAAGTTCAGGCAATTAGGACAAAATGTATAAATATGTGGAAAAACTCCGGGACACGAAAAATATCATATTATGTAAAAACATATACAAAACATTACAATGAGGAACAGGCTGACATAATATCATTTAGTATATCAGACCGCACCTAGGTTTACCAACGAAGATGTTATAGATCATCATTGTTTGTCAATACTACTGTCCGAAACCTCTTTTTATTCAAGGACCTCAAAACCAATCAAACCAGAAGCCGGAAGTCAAAGGATCGGGAGACGTAATTGAGTGAAAGTCGATGTATCAAAGCATATCCAACCTAAGCTGACTAGTTGAAAGAGATGCAAAGAGCGTTACCAAACTTAATCTTACCCGAATGTTTGACCGAGCGCATCCTCTCAGGAGTGTTTTCATCAAAACTAATAAGGTTAGTGTCAGTGTTTAGGATCTAAAAACTGCTTGTTTTGGGGATATATTTACCATTAAACTGATATCGAACAAACTCAGAGTTGGATTAGCAACTGAAATGCTCTTCTCGAGCAGTCTGTGAGAACTTTTAGGAGAAAGAAGACCCTATAAAAATACTTGCTGTTAGGATTAAAGCGAGCCAACTGGTACACTATTTTTTGTACTGATACTGGGGATTGTACGCGCAACATTTTGCCAATCGCGGTACGTCAACATCGTATTTTGATTTGCTAGATATACGACCATTGCCATTTTTCTGGGGAACAGAAAACTGCAGCTGAGATCTAAATGTTGAGGCAAACTGAGTGAAGTATAAGTAGTGATAAAATAAAGGTTAATACAACTTTCCAGATCATTCCATGAAATACGACAACCGTATATAAATGGTCCATTTTCTCAAACTATAATTGTTTAATAATAATCGTTTTTCAAAATCTTGAAATCTATGGAAGATCATTGTTAGCAGACATAGCTTGTTTCTGTATGTTGTGTTATGTAAAATGGATCCGTCGTCAATACGCTAAACGGTCTTTTGAAACTAATTTTTAGCGTGTGTACATGCTTCATGTGTTTCAAAGAGATATAAAATATACTGACTTAGCTGGATAAATTCGATTTTAAGATAAATATGGGAATTGTCCGTGATAGTTTGGGGAAAACCTACTATCCAAGTTTTGGTGTTAGTCGAAACGAGTAGTAAATAAACATTAAAAAAAAGCTTAACTACACAATATCATGCATTCTGACAGCTTGTTTCGCATTTACGGTAATAGTTGGCTGCCAAAATGGGTGGGACAATTCTGATCTATGTTACTACTTCGGAGTTAATTAACTCCGAACGTTTATCCTCGTTTTTTGACCATTATCACAAACGGAGTAGTTCTCATTCTTTTGCAGCGCCAAAAATTGACCAGAATCAATCTGAAAGTTAGATTCCGCTGGATTTCGACGAAGAAGGCTATTCTTCTAACCATGGTCCAGTCGATGAAATTTGGTTGCCTAATCGGTGTAGGGTTTTGTGTTACAAATGTATAACAGTTGAGACTACATCACTTTACAGTAAAGCGAGGAAAAGCCGAAAAGTGGAGAGGCAGATGTCAGAACCATATTAACAAAAATGAAAAGAACTAAACATAAGAAGAAATATTAAGGGAATGGATGACGTAGAGTAATTAAGAGTATATAGTAACATTTCAAAGACAGGTGTCGTGTTACTGTTGCAAGTAGTCTCTATGACCCGACCAGCATCTGACCTTTGAGCAGTAACCGAACCTTGAAATTATACTAAATAGGTTCATGACTTATTTCTTTAGGATTCTACAATATCAGAACACGGAATGTAGCAATTTTATTTTATTTAAACACAAACATAGGTACAAGAAGACACCAAATAGATATGCGCCACATAAATCATTCGGTTTTTGTGAGGGTTAGGATACTGCCCGGGTGCCAAAACCAAAGCAAATGGTTTTCTTAGGAGGCCACACCTCGAGCTTATGACCTAAAGGTCTGATCCACAAGGTAGTGGGGCAACGTCAGGAGATGCAGTCCCATGGTAGGCGGTGACCAACGATTGGTCCATACGCCATCTGTTCCCTCGGGGTCCTGGTGCCCATGCGTATCACTGGTTTGGAATCAGGGTTTTCCAACATCCCTACGTGGATCCTCCATATCCACCAACCCGGTTAAAGCGCCGGACATTCGCTTTTTGTCCTCTCAATTTCTTAAACGACAGTAATGCCATAATAAGGCGGTGAATAGGACTTCCCTGGCAGTGGTTGTATGTACATGGCTATGTGAGAGCATTTCGAGAGGCAGAGTTCACTCTCGGCCGTACATGGGCATTTGGGAGCATGTAGCAATTTAGACAGTAGTTATCACATGGTATCAACTATGTGAAATTCGAGGTAGTTAGAACGTTTACCAATAAGTGGGGAAGAGCCCTGAGGCCATAGGCTTACTATCTGATTGACTTCGCCAATAGTATTTAGTTTCACAACTAGTAGAATTTAATCCAATGAAAAGTGTGGGGAGGCAGAAACACATTGTGGTGGAAAGAGAGGGGATTCGTTTCTAACAAATTAGATAGGCTTTTTACAACTGTGCTGCCAAATTGGTTAGATCCGATTGGGGTTGATGCTTAAAGAAAATTAAGGTTTATTGACATGTTCTAGGAATTACGTGTTACATCTAGAAGGTAATCTCGTAACCTTGATTTGTTTTTCAAGACCAGGCAGTCAGTTCGTCATCAACTTTCAGACTATTTATTTAGAACAAATTAATGTTCCTAAGAAACTACCCTTAAACATATCACCACAAAGTCCTTTTATAGAGACACTAGCAATCAGTTTTGAATGCGGTAAACAAACAAATATTTGATTGAAAACTTATATGGTCTTCACCAATAAGTAACCATCAATTTACATACACTAAATTAATTGTGCTGACTTTTAGGTGACGAAGAAGCTCTAACTTAATATTTAGACACAAACTTGGTTGCGCTTAGATAAACGGAAAATCGCATGTCTAGATGATATAGGTATAGAAAGCAACAAAATAGATTCAATCAATTAACTGGAAATGTGGGGATTAGCATTAGTGGTTCTAATTTCATTGTTTAAACTAGGCTTATGATTTTGGAACTAAGTCCACAATCTAACTGACAATCCACAAAATCACGAGTTTATTTATTCATTGTTAGCACCAGGTTTCGTGAACAGAACACTGATATGTGGCTCTAATAATATTCCTTTATCTAGAAGTTCCGCATGACTTTCAGCTAAGGGGTCTTGTGGTAGTATTTTACCTTGAAAGCTTCGCTAAAAGTACGTAAATCTTCCTAAATCTTCTGATTCGAAAGCTTGATCGTGTTAGAGTTTGTAACAAAATGTTGGCTGAGTCAGTAACTTAAGGTATCTGTCCCATATTCTCACTTAACTCCATTATATATACACACCTTCCCCATCTACCTTTTGAGACCTATCTCCCACTTTCGCAGGTTACAGTCCTGCTTGATGAAGATGGTGACAGAATGTAGCCTTTGGAATCTTTTGAGTAACAATGCAAGGATGTTTAGGGTATGTTTCCTTATCGATGTAATACTTAAATTCAGAGCTGATCTTCATCAACATCTAGACTGATTATAGGTAGCAAAACTATTGTGCACGCTAACTACACTTTTCCTGTTGAGTATCAACCTCGGTTAGTTGACAGCTAACACAGTCTTGAGACATATTCAAAAACTTTTCTCTGTTCTTGCCAATTTGCTTTGCTTGGGAATTAGATATGTCTATCAACCAAGGTGTATGTTGCACACCCGTTCTATCTGTATTACTCTATGTTTATGAAACATAGTCTGTAAGAGTAGAAGATATGTATAGGCTGCAAGTTTCTGACCATACGTTTCTTCGAAGCATTGGCTGCGTATCGTAGAACAACCGAGTGAGCTGTCATGAGGTTAGACGTACCATACAATATGGTTAATTGTTTGATGAGGTTGTAAGTCTTCATTGGCTGTGAGGTGTATTATATATCCCCGACCATCATCAGATTCAAGGCCCTTAGGCATTTCGGCCTCTAAATAGGTTGCAAGAAAGCTGGCGGCAGTCAAATTAGGACAACATTAGTCCATGAGGTCATTGATTGAGAACTTCCTGGTTGTAGACATCAGTTGACTTGGCTAAAATTTGGTCGTATCGGTACAAATCTATTCATTCTTTATCTTCTTGTCGATTTTAAATCTTAACACTTCAAACCTTATGTTCTTCTGTTTCATCCCTTTTCGGAACTCATGTTTGATTGTCTTCATAATCATTGACATTACTATTACCTTGATTCGTCTCCCATGTATTTTGCTTGTTTCGTTCCTTTGTGATAATGTGGTGTGTCAAAGTAGGCTGATGCATATTTGTGCCAAGTCTTGACGGGTTTACAGTGCTATCGTCCATTTATGTAGTTGATAGATGACTTTCTACTGCGATCCTGTTAGCAAATGCAAATTCTATTTCCAAGCTCACGCATAAACCCACATTTACAGAAGCGTAAAATGGCCCTATTAAATCACCAAAAAATCCTCTTGGCAAGTTTCGGATGTTTACTTCATTGATCAAGTGCGTTCAAGTGAAGTTTAGGAGTAACACTTCAGATTTTTGGCTAGAGAGACGTGTCTTCCATTTGTACATGGGATCCCATCCCTGAGGACTTTAGTATTTCGTTTGAACTACAATCTCCATCGCAGAGTATGAAGTAAAGGTGGTAATTTGGTCTGTATAGTATTAAGGACACAAACACATACAGTTGCCAATAACTGCAACAATACACTGTTTAACATAGAAGTATGCTAAAATAAAACCGAGTGGTTACATCAGAATGACTCTGGTATGTGAAGTTATTAAATAATATGCTAAATCGTACTAGAAAGTGCAGTTTTCCCAGTAGGGATTTGGGAGACAGTTGTTATTTAGGGTCGGACTGATGAAGTTGTGTTCATTTTTCGTTCTCCCTTTTAGCCTTAAATAGCGTTGCTTCATATTTCTCATTCTTTGACTACATTGATTCTTTAGACTACCTCTTACTTTTCATCATTCCCACCACTTTTGGTCTTATTAATTTGAATTTTACTTTTACACCTGTCGAGTTCTTCTTGGTATTTTGTGTTTTGCAACCTGGGGTGTGACTAATCTGTAGTATATCCTGTTTTTTTGCCTGTCTACTGAAGTGTTAGAAATTCAAGTCAAAATGTTTGTATTGAAAGTAAGAATTTCGGCTATTAATATCAGGACTAATAATTAATCTGTCATACATTACATTTTTGTATCGTTTTATATCGTAAAATTACAGAAGTTTCGTTTGTCGTTCTTTCGAAGCCTGATTAAAAACTACATTTTTCAGCCTTATCCAATGGAAGCTGACAAAGAGCCGTCGATCAACATAGACAATTCAGAAATAGTTGTCCTTAGTTCAGATGATGAAAATGATTCACAGAATTCGCATGACAATATTTCAAATGAAAAACTTTCAAGCAGTGTTATATCTGTCGAAGATGATGATGATAATAATACTAATAATGACGAGTCTGCCGAAAGCGACTGTGAAATCTTAAATGTTGAAGAGTTGCAAGGTGAAGAGAAGTGGCGTGATATTCATGGTATGTCTACGAAACGCTAACATTTAATTTTTGACATCCAATCACTAATCATTGAAGTGGTTGGTTTAAATTTCTTCTATGCTCTTTATCACTAACAGTAGTATACTTCGTTCAGTCACCTCGTATAAATTATCTGGAGTATGTAGTGGCATTCGGAGAGGAATCGAATTATTTGACAAACCATAAATATTATAAACATAGGAAATTATGTAAACTCAAATCACCACAATTCCCCAGAGCTTAAAAAGAGGATCGACCAAATTTAAAAAGAATTAAAATAAAGAAAAATATAAATCGAGGGGGGGGGGACGCAATGAACTAGTAATTAATTTTTCATGATCTAAGGAATGAAGGGATAATATATTTACTCTATTTTAATTAAATCTGTTCTATGTATCTATGGCTTTCAACTCCCGACCATAGCTGCTATTTTGACGCGGTGGTCGGGCTTGCCTATCGTGATGACCCAACCGAGCTATATTGTCTGGAACATATGTTCCTGTAGGTTCTACCATGCCAGACAGGTCGATTTGAGAACGGTAAGACTAAAAGCAGCAACTCAAGGTTTGAGGGAGAAGTCGTACTGCTGACTGTAGAGAGCTGTAACAGCAGTAAAGTGTCTCCCTCGGACAACCAGCATCTGCAGCGATGCTGCCTTCTCACAAGGAAGGAAGGGGTTAGAAAAGGTCGATCCTAAAAATGTCACACCTCACCTTACCTCACGGATTTCCGTCTCCGGTGGTCAGACCCTTTGAAGAACGGAGCTAACACGTTAAAAACCTCCCACGAAATCGCCGTGCGCGACCGGCTTCAAGCAGTTGTCCCTTAGGCTCTGCGGTCACGCTCCCAGGTTGTTAAGACCAACAATAATCCGATTTCCTTTTCAGATTCCTCAAGAAATACCCTTCCACGGTATGGGCAGCCGGGAAGTGATATCAACCCGCATACCCGTAACAGCACAAGAGACCAAGTTGGTCACATTCAAATCCTTCCTACACCTTCTAATATCTCTCTTATCTCCACGACTAACCCTTCTACGTCCCTTTATCACCTCGCACCGCTAGGGCAAACAATTCGAGTATGCGGAACGTTATTCCTGGACTCCTGAAACCACACTGTAAACTACATATAGGAGCTTTTGACGTTCGAACACCGTGCCAAATAGGACAACAGGCTTCCTTAGCTAGGACTTTAGAGTCTCGCGCTATCGATGTGTTCTGCGTCTCCGAAACGCGCATACAGGATCCAAGTAGCGTCATTCATTTGACCTCACCATGTCAAAATAAAGAACCAACTTAATTCACGTTTCGTGTGTCTGGAGGCCCTGATGCTGCTTCCCATGGCCTCGCTGGCATAGGTATAGCATTAGGTCAGGATTGGGTTGCATAGACACCCGGACTAATGATAGAGAGTGTAGTAATTGAGCGTGTCGACTGCCTCACTTATCTTGAAAGTCTCGTCAGCCCTTGTGGTCTGGTGTGTGACGAAATCTCAGCACGGATACAGAGGGCTCGACTAGCTTTTGCCAACTTGCGTCATTTATGGCGTAGGAGAGATATCCGTCTACCAACCAAAGGACGTGTTTATTGCGCAACAGTTCGTTCCGTCCTACTTTATGGCAGTGAAACATGATCGGTAAGAGTAGAGGATATTCGTAGGTTACTAGTATTTGATCATAGGTGTTGTAGTGTCGGTTATTATATTAAGCCCATATACCTTATTCTAGCTTTCGGACAGCCCATTCTATTCATTCTACTTGAGTCACATTCTGACCTTGTTATGTATTCGCTTATCAATCTTGACTGTTTTTATATGAGCGCATAGGTGTGTTTACATTTCTTATCCCATTACTCATCACGTATCTGTAACTTACTTTTGTGTAACTATAATTATTGATTAACGCTTGGTTAAACGAGAGTTGGCCTACCCTCCATCTCCACTGCGCGTCGTTTTGCTTTGTTCTATTCCATTTGCTCTATATACAAAGTATGTGTATTCACAAGTCCATTCTCGTTTTTTGACTTATTAAATTCCGTAATTGACTAACGCGATTTAAGTTGATGATTATATACGAGGATAGGCGACATATATATTTCACCAACAATCATCATTACAATCTCCTTGGAATCAGAACCTGGGCCGCTAAAGTGGAGAGCCCTTTCGACAACATCGTCCGATCTAAATGACGACAAAATTCAAGGGCCCCCACAGTGTCTTCGAAACATTACTCGTATATTCTGGGACCACCGAGTAAGTAACGCAGTTGTTAGGATACGGGTACTAGGTAAGGATGGAAAATCAATTGATGAGGTTTTACTACTTCATCAGTTGAGATGGCTGAGAGACGTGTTACTTATGCCCAACCACCGACTGCCTCGACGTGCGATGTTCAATGGTGTAGGGGTAGGTTGGAAGAAAGCTAGGGGCGGCCAGACCAAAACATGGCAAAAATCCATGAAGTCACTGACAAGTGGACTGAGCCATGTTGGTAGGTGTAGACTACCTGGTTGGGATCCGCGAGACGATAGCAACCGATGGTTAGAGACCCTGAATGACTTGGCTGAAAATCCTTTCCAATGGCGCGGGTGCATCCACTTTTTGTGCTCTCTCAGATTCTAATCTTCTGAATTCTTCATATCCTTTATTTTCTTTCCAAATTTATTTCACTGGATTATACTCTATAAATAATATCTTCAAACCCTAATCTTTCCGATTACTGCTTATACTCTTAATACCTCTACCACTACGGGATTTTAGTCGACAACTGCATCTCTGTGCTAATGTGGTATGGCAACTGGAACTGATGTACGTACGTACGATGTTCTATGTTGTTACTGACTGACTGACTGACTGACTGACTGGCTTTCAACGACCTTTTTCTTCGTTTAGAACGTCTGTACTTCCACTCAGGGCTTAGAAAAATATTCAATGGCTTTGTGGAGTAGTCCTATTTCCTGTCCTTTCTATTTTTAGTTTCCATCAAATAACTAATGTATTTCTTAAGATTTCTTGATTCTCTAATCTGTTCATGAAATTGTCATTTCCTTAGTCTGATATAGTTAAAACTATTTTGTTAGAAGTATTTATGCCAAATATGCTTTATAAAAATTTTAACGAAAAATCATTTCTATGATACTATCTAAAAAAAGAGTTAACAACAACAGAAACTATCGTCTCATATATTAACTTTTCCACTGTAATAATGTTATAGTTACTTGAGTTGACACCATTTCCCTAATTTTCTCCTCCTGAATAATCAAGCCCATTCGACCTGCTTCGGTTTGGTCAGCCGTACAGTATCACTAGTTCAAGAGTCGAACAAAAATACATGTTACTTGATTGATGATCTTCACTTGTGACAACAGAATAGCTTTAAATGATCTTCCGCACGTAAGGTCCTGTTCTTTTTCCTACGCTCATAACTTCATTTGGAACTCTACCCTTAAACGTACAAAAATTCTTACTGAGAACTTCGAATTCTACAGAAATGTTTTATCATAAGATTATATGTGGAAAATTTGTTGAAATGAGAGTCGCTAAACTGCCGTTATTTTCCAGTTTTGGATATGTAACTTGTATGTCATATGGCGTAGAGGCTGCACAAGAACCCAAGCCGAACAGATGGTTCTGCGGTTAGTATTAGTTTTTGGTGACAATTAAATGTGCACCAATTAGTATTCGTAGACAGCTTGTTTAAAACATGTAGTAGGCAATTTATTTTCCTCGTTGATCATTCCTATTATACTTAATTCTGATTAATTATTGGTAATAATCGTACGAAAAAGACAAATTAATAGTAGAAATTGCCATTTCAATTACGTTTCGGGACATAAATCAATTATTTTTTGTTCAAACATTATGGTCTTTTTCACCTTCAATATGAATTTATGCGATAAAATTTTGTTATCAAATGAATTCATTCTCATTTGATGTTTGGTTGGCGTAATGTGAACAGGTGGTTTGAATTAGTTACTTATCTTTGTTTTCGATCTCTAATTCATTGATTGATTTAAATTTTACTAAAAGGAGTTAGCATTCCGATTATTGATTTGTCATTTCAAACCACTTTCTTGTTGCCAGTATATATATTTTGTGTATATATATCGATATCACCACTATCTTTTTTGATAATGTACGTTATTATCTGAAACTGCAGAGCTTAGGATAGGTTCAACGGAAAGGTGACTTATGACAACATAAATATTTCCTTATATGGAATATGGGCCTGCGGATATCTATCAATGCGATTAGAAGTAACAACACATCACTTCTGTTTGGTTATCAATATTCTCCTCAGATAAAGTGATTTTTTTCTTGGTGTTGTATTCGGGTCTTTGGAAACACTAGATTCCTGTATATGATGGGTCCTACGTAGAATGAAACGACATAAATCAAAGTTCTAGCAATTCTACTTCATCTGTTACTTACACCGCATACTTGCGTTCAGAAACGACTGATTTTGAGGAGTCTTAATATCCTTTGCTGAATGTTAAAGTGTTGTTTTACGGTCAACTCTCACTTTTCTGTCTTCACATTAATCCCATTAATGTACGTGTGTAACAAAATAACCATTCTAGTAACAAACTAGATAACTAATGTTATAAATAGAGTTCAAATGTATAGCCAAAATTTACACCAATATATTTTCGTGTATTAGCTAATTCAGGATTAACTGTATCACATAATACTTTAAGAACATTTATGTATCATATGAAAGAGCTTGATTGTTTTAGCTGCTCGGATAGGTAGAATCTATTATTTTAGATCCGTTTATCACATGTCTACGTTTTTTGTTTTAATCTCACATTTTTACTTCCTTATTCTTTCTCTGCAGTAACTTTAACCAAACTGCCGTTTCAACTACGTATACTTTTAATTTAGTGTTTTTATTGGAATAGGTTTTGTCTATGATTATCATGTTCAGTATTTCTGTAGTAGATTCATCATAATGTTCTATCTAAATTTCTCATTTTCTCTTATTAAATGTAGTGTAAGTACTAATTGTCCCTATTATCTAAATCGCATCAGGTCCTTTCAAGCGGCTGAATAGGCTCATACAAGCTGGTTTTAATGATCCACGGCTATTGTTGGTTCGTGTTTTTGGGATGGATGAAAACTCTTTACCATCTGATCCTAACCAATTATTAAGTTTATTATTGACACTTTTGGCCGAACCTGCTCCACGACGTAGACTGCGCCGTATAAATAGTTTAGAAAAAGTTCTGTCACTTCTGTCTACTTGTACGTCAATCCTCGTAATCACTGGTGCTGGGATTTCAGTGTCATGTGGAATTCCTGATTTTCGTTCTCGTGATGGTATTTATGCTCGCTTATCTCGGGATTATCCAGATCTATCAAGTCCACAGGCAATGTTTGACATGTCATATTTCAAACGAAATCCTATTCCTTTCTTTAAATTCGCCAAGGTATGGTTTATTTTTCTAGAAATCCTACTTCACGTAACATTGATAATTAGTGTGATAAAAATCTACTGATTAAAATTGACATAGATATTGAAATGCTGTAATACTCTACCTTCATAATAAGGGTCATTTTACGAATATGCATTAATTTATTTAAATGGATTATAATTGTTAAAATGATAACATTTAAACAATGTAATTCAATTATCGCTTGTATCTTTAAATCAAAGTTAACCAAATGTTACGAATTTTGTTTACTTTGGTGGACTACTAAAGTTTAATGAATGAATATCTTCAGATAGTTTTGCGATATTTGTCATTTCTTTTAAATAACCTAAATATTTTTAAAGACATTTTATCTTTCATAAGGTTTTTTGGTGAGACTATAATTTATGGACGATCTTCGAGCGATGCTGAAGTGACTATGAGAAAATTCAGCCACTTGCTAGGGTCAAAAGAGGGGGTTATGCATTAATGTTAGGAAATAAGATTAGTATTCAGAGTAAGAAAACAGTTAGTAATTAGAGTTGGGGTTTTCATCACAAACTGACATAAGCTGTGATGGTAAAATGCTATTTAATCATATAAATGATTGAATTTTGCTCAAACATCCTAGACTTGCTATCTTTAATCTCATTGATTCGTCCGTGGATAATGGTTTCGCTGGTTCGTTCTCATAGCGTTGAGAGAAGTAGATAAATTAACATTCTTAAATTTTGTCGAATTTTACAATCATTTCTTTTTCACTGTGTCACAAATCGTCCATTTAAATCTCCAACATCTATTAAAGATAAAAAAATGTGCATTATTCGAAGCCTTTTGACTAAATATACTTGCTTGACTTTTTTTCAAGCTGTCAACTAATAACAAGTACAGAACGTTTCCAAATAATATCGACTATTAGAAGTCCTGATGATTTGTAATTCATTCCTGTCATATCAAGTGGGATATGTACACTATATTGTTTTACGTTTGTTTGATTTGTTGTTATTTTCACCATATATCATTATGAAATAGAACAACTTACGTTTTATGAATGATATGTTTATTTGATTAACTGATCTGATATGTTGATTAGTCTGGACAAAATAGAAGAGTGGTTAATACAATTTAAAGCAAATAAATATTATGTTGCCGTTATCACAGTTTAAATAAAACACTTCTGGAACTCAAATACATTGACGATATCGTTGTACCTTGAGACACAGAACGACAGACAATTATTCAATATTTTGGGACAGTTTCTTTTAAGAAAGAAAGTAAACCGACATTTTGAAAATTACACTTGTTCATGTAGGGATTTAGTTCATTGGTTTGTAATAGTTAAGAGATTTGTGACTTGCCATTTTTATGGTACACGATTGTTGCAAATATTACAGTACTAGACAATTTTTTGCCACATCATGTGTGATGCTTACATAAAAGAATGGTTATGTTGATTATGTTCATTTTATTTCTTTATCTTTACCGTTGAAAAACTTTAGGAGCTCTTCCCTGGCCAGTTCTCACCCTCGATTACTCACCGGATGATTGCTTTATTGGAGTCCAAAGACAAATTATTGCGTAACTACACACAGAATATTGATACTTTGGAACAGGCTGCTGGAATTACTCGACTTATTCAGTGTCATGGTGTGTAAGGGATTAATTGTTAGGTTTCATGTTTACCATAATATTTCTACTGTGTAATATTTCTTTGTCTTCATTTATATGTTTAAACACAACGCGGTGAACGGTCTCGAACAACTTGTTAGACTTTCTGGTCTTCATTACTTTCATGAAGTTTGGACATAGTATTAAAAGAAACGTGGGACAATTTTGTCTGTGAACTTATTACGAAACCAGCCGCTTTTGCAGCATAAGTATTAATGATCGAAGTGAGAGTAGTACTGAACTTTTTGGAGATTCTAGGTGAGTTTTCGTAAGTAATAATTAATAAAAGAAAGAGTTGGTTGAATCAAAGAGAAGCGGAGTACAGGGAAACTGAGTCATTCTACCCAATTTCATGGAAAATCTGTCCCAAAAAAAATCAATACTAGAATTTTTCTTATTCTCACCGCTGGTTTGAACACTCGATACTTATATTTTAGTTTAGTGTTTTCAACTCTATCTTTATTCCATCGAGAAATTTTTGATGGAAATCAATGGTACAGCTAACATTTACCTAACTAGTTTACTTCATTGATCTATACTTGGCCACTTTTAATGCTTAACTCGTAATTTAAAAAATAGTTGATCCTAAAAATATCGTATTAAATAATAATCTCAGTGTATTTGTTTGGAATTCATTTCAAACAGTTGAACTTATGAAAGCAAATATCTAAAATTAATTTTTCGAAAAATTCAAAGGTGATTAACCTGAGAAAGATGATATCAACCTGTCAGTTCGAAGTAGCTATAGTAAAGTCGGTTGAAGTGTAAGCCTAGACCATAAACATCCAACTTGATCATCTCTAGAACTTAAAGAATTACTATACAATTAGTCAATATATACAGAGAGAATCAATCTGGAAAGGTAGAGGGTTTACGATAAATCATTTGCTACACTTAATTTACATGTCTGTGTTTATTCCATAGTTGTCAATCCAAGGTCATTGGGACTTAGTTTACCTGCCAATATAAAGTTTTATCTTTCTCGGCCGATGAAGATCAATATAAGCTTTTATATATATCAGGTGCCATTGTGATTGTTGTACTATTTTATGTTTTTTTCCTGTCATTTAACATGTTTAAAAATAAGCAATCAGCCCGAATTTTTTAATTCGTCGAATGCAGTAATCAGCCGACAGACTGACAACTTATTCAAGTCTATTGTATTAATTCCGTTAAATTGTTCGTAAAATCAGTTGCGACAAAACGATCTGGGTCAGCATTCTGCTCAGTGTTTGAGTTACTATCAAAATCTCGTCAAACTGATCTTCAAAGTCTATTATTCCTAAGGGTTTGGGTTTTCCTATTGCTGATATTCATAACTAAATTTTGACCAATCTCTTTCGGGATACATGCAATCTGAGTGGGTACCTTGATCTTCAACATATTCTTCACACTATCTTAGCTTGTAATTCCGAGATTTTTCATACACATAGTTCCTTTTATCATTTTGAAAAGAGCAAGAACAAAGATTCTAGCAGAATAGCATGAATTCATTTTATTTCGTAGATTCTCGTCAGCTGCTTACAACCTGTGATATTTAAAAATCATAATTGCATAATGGGTTTAAATTACTTACTGAATATTGTAAATATATATCTAATGTGAAAGAATATTCTACAACATTAATTGTGACAACAGTTCAAGAGTGGGTTAGGAACAATTGATTACCTAATGAATAAACATTGATAGGAATATAGTGAGTAAAGTTCAGTTGAATGATTGTTAAATTGAAAGATAGTTGAAAAAATCAAATCAAATCAATGATGTAATAAATACCAAAGAAAAAGGAAAAAAAATTAAGGTGCAGTGAAGGAATATTTGTCACCAAGGCAAGCAAAGATTAACAACCGTCTCCTTTTGAATACATAAGTCAGGTTTTTGACGCCTGATGGCATCGGCTTCAGCAAACTTCAGAAGACTGGAGTTTGGCTGCTTACTAATCACCCTAAAGGATTGTAAGGTATCTACCTGACATATTCAGTAAGCAATTTAAACCCATTATGTAATTATGATTTTTAAATATCACAGGTTGTAAGCAGCTGACGAGAATCTACGAAATAAAATGAATTCATGCTATTCTGCTAGAATCTTTGTTCTTGCTCTTTTTCAATTCTAAGATTTGTTCCATTGGTTTATATTCCTCATTGTTACTTACAGTAAATATTACGTTTCATATACGACCCCAGTATGTTTGGACAACTTGAAGCTGATTGTCTATACATCTTTTTCTTTGAGTAGAACAAGGCTCTAATTTCAGTCATTACGTACTCTCAATGTTAATATCTTTTGTTTTGCTAAATTCGATTTTTGCAGTTTTCTAATACTCTCCACTTTTTCATTTATTGATTTATCAATCAATCAATCAATCAGAAAAAGCTTAGAAACGTATTGATGTTAATAGTCTTTAATTAATATTGTTTTTCATTTGTTACACCTTGATCACTATTAAAAAAGAATGAATATATATATTTTTTGTTTTGTTTTAATTAAACAGAAATACATAACTTTCATATTTACCATATCTATTTGTCATTGTTTATAATTTTTAATATTGAAATTTGTTGTTTTCTATTTTATGAATGAAAATAGTTTCTAATTATGAATTAAATTTCTATTATAATGATATTTTTCAATCATTATTGTTGTTTTCTTTAACTTATATCAATTAATCATTATTGATTTATTGATTTATCACATTATTAGGTTCATTTGCATCAGCCACTTGTACAAACTGTAAACTAAAAGTTTCATCGGATTTTATTAAAGAGGCTATTTTTAATCAATCTATACCACGATGTACAAATTGTTGGCCGTCAAAAATCGATTCGTCATCATTATTACCAGATGAAATGAATGATTCGGAGTCTACAAATCATTCATCTGATTTATCTACTGTAGAAGAAAATCCCAATAATAATAATAATAATAATATGTCAGTTGATACATCTCCAAAAGTTAAATCGAAACGAACTAATAAATCTCGACGTAGACTAGCTTCATATGGTGTATTAAAACCGGATATCGTGTTTTTTGGTGAAGGTTTATCAAATGAATTTCATGACTCTCTTTCTAATGATATAAAACAGACGGATCTAGTTTTAGTTATTGGATCATCGTTAAAAGTTCGACCTGTCTCTCATATTCCTAGTAAGTATTATTGTTTTATTTTCGCTATGAAACTGATTATTATTTCCTTCATAAAGACTACTTAAATAGATTTACTTCAGAAATAAATTCAAATGACATACATGATGTACATCACTTTTTATGTGATTTATGTACGGTCACATTAACTACCAGGTTTATTTAATTTGACTGAGTAGTATTTAACATCAATTAATCAGTAACTTATTATATGAATACGTATTTATTGTATCATACTTATCAATTTTTACACTGACTGACTTTTTCTCCTTCTGATTTCGTTGTATCATCTCTTGAAAATAAGTTCGATTGAAACCGTTAAAATAGGTGCACATCACTCTTCCTCTCTTGAAGAATGTGTAACCTTCAGGGAGTAATGGTCAACATCTTGTAGCTCTTCTCATCATCTGATTGACACAACTGAACGTTAAAACTGGATGGTTATAATTTAATATGAATTTATATTTTATTGCCAATATGATTATATGAATGAAAAGTGATACAACATTTAGGGCTGATAATATGACTATTAAATTGATAAATACATTTAAATAGTACACCAATGCATCCGATAATTTCATTATCATGGTTAGCAATATCTTGCATGACATTTGAGATTTCGTCGCATGCCGGATTTGGGTCTAAATGTGACTTGACTATGTTGGTGGTCATTAATTTGGCTGACAGTCACCCTGAACCGGACGACTGAATCGAACTGGACAGTATCGAAGCGAGCTTCTCCACCCTTTCCATAACTATCTTCTGAGATGCTTCGAATAGGTACTTTTGCCACTTCAAAATGGATTGGAGCTCCTCTGTTAATATTGATATTATTAATCTATTTCCCCATAGCTACTGTTATGTTTGTTACAAAGACTGTTGATATGTATTTATTTGTCCCCGGAAATAGATCAATGTGATATATCCGTACACTACTTTCTATATGATCTATGTAAAGTGATGTGATTGTAAATTACTACTGCCATTCGAAACTTACTGGTTATACTTCTCTGTGACTTTATACGTTGTCGTATAAGAATCTATTTCATATTTCCTACAAGATCATTTACATTATTATATTATATTTTTCTTGACGCAATTGTAGTAGCTTTGTAAACACAATAGCTACTTGGTGGACCATAATCTACAACTATTGTGTTTATGGGTTAGCTATTATGGCTACCTATTTTAAACTATGTAGGGTGTGTAGTTTTGAACCTGAGTGATAGTTAATCCACCTAAACCCTTAATTAGATCATACCTTCACAATTTCTTGTAACTTCTTTCAACACTATTAGCTGCCACCCGTTTTCCATTTTCGACTTGATTGTTATCAGATTTTGCAATTTTAATTCAATATCTCAAAAATATTAACTCTGAAACATGGGACCAATCGATAGTGTAGTGCTGTGCCTATTCATGACTCTATTCACTAGCTTGAAATTAGTTTAAAGATAAGTACAGTATAAGATACACAAATTAGTTGCTTCATGCTATTTTGAAAACCTTCAAGATTACTTTCGTATTGAATTTTTCTAGCACTTCTTAATGTTTCGAGATCTAACTTACTCTCTACTTCAAACCCATTTTATCTCTTTTTTTTCAAACACAGATGCTGTTCCTAGGCAAGTTCCACAAATACTTATTAATAGAGAACCGCTATCTAATCATGATTTTGATGTTGAATTACTTGGAGATTGTGATATCATTGTCAGCGAATTATGCCATCGATTGGGTTGGGAAGTTTCCGGATTATCAGACTATACACCTCTTACTGAAATTCCCTTAAATTCGCTAAAAAATACAACTGAACCACTAAAGTCTGATGAAAAATCTCCAAATATATCTCCTCTCATTGCTCAGGACACAGTGTCTTCGGACTTAGTGAACAATCAATCCCAAATAAATAATTCAGAAGTTGATGGAAAGACTTGTACCTCTACTGTTGTTTCTACGTCTGATAATTCTTCAGAGATGATTAATAAGAATTCTCCGAATGATGCAGTAATTGAAGTTAGTGAAGATGAGGAAGATGGAGAGTGTGTTTGGGAGGTAGCGTCAAGTTTACCACGTAAGTAGTCTATCATTTTAATATATAACTATTACAAAAGTATTTTTTAACCTTCTATTGAAGAAACACTATTACAATTTTTAGATATATTTTCTAACCGGTATATTTTTGCATCCTTTTTTTATTGTAATAATTTCACTGTTGTCGTATAAAAATCTAATTACATAGTATCCATGGTAAAGTAAATAAGATATTGGCATTTAAACTATGTAAAGAATGGACTAATTACATTTTTTGAATATAAAATGCACTCATTATCTGAATAGTCAATAGAAGCACCTTTTCTTTTAAGCTAAATAACATAGATGGTCCCTTTTACGATTGGTAGTTATATTTTCTCATTGTTATTGTTAAATCATCGTATAGAGTTATTTTGTGAAGCGCAAAAGCAGTAATCTCGACTTACACTGGGGTGTACTTGGGTTTGTTTGTGATCTATTTTGTAAAAAATTGTATCAGTCATCCGATTCCCTGAAAATCAGAAGTTGAGGGTTTGGTATTTTGGATATTCGAATTCCAATTACAGAGCTGTGAGTTCAAATCAGTCATTTCGCATGGAGCAAGTATATGTAATCACAGCTGAGTGAATAGCAAATAGATCAGAGTAATGAGTAGTATTAATGATAATAAGAAAGACTAAACATTTAGAATATGGTTCTAAAATAAGGAATATAACAATAGAATAAGATTGTGACATCTACTATGGTGAAGTTAATTGAAAAAATGAAAATAGTGGATAGTCTTGTTGAGCGATTCGTCAAGTTATTGATTCCGATGATAGTTTGCTGTAAGATGTAAGTCGATCAGGTGTTCAAGTAAAAAGTCTATAGAAGGTGTATACTTTTTTTGGGACACCTCCCAATAACAAACACTAACAATGCTTCTGAGTTGATGGAATCAACTGCTAGTTACAGTTGAATGTTAGTATGTGTTTTAAAGCCTGCCGAACAACAAATATTCGATGATTACATCCACGACTAGGTATGGAACCAGTCTCATACCCATTTTTGTACTGTATTACGATTCTTTCGTAAACAAATCCTAATGACTCAAATTTATTATAATAGGAGCCAGTTATATTCTAAAAATACGCGATTCCTATTCTAAAGATGAAAAAAACAATCTTTTTTTAATGAGCGGAAGCCATACTACTTTTTTTCGTGGAAAAAGAATTTTCATTACATAAATTTCTTCTTTTGACACTTTCCAGTATTTCTCCACTAATAAGCGACCAATAATTTACCTGTGGTTATTTCCCGCGAATGTTTGTGCGGTGTTCTTAAATACACTTCACCTTTTCAAATTGCTTTGAATCGTCCTTGTCCTTTTTATTTGTTGGTATGAATGGGGGTAGTAATTAGATTACGATGTATGTTCCTAACTTGTTATATAAATATTGCCCTTTCTGTCAACAAGTGAACTTCATCTTTTTAATTCGAATTCCTGAACATTTCCATCCACCCGGCTATCGAGTTGTGATTGTTAAACAAGCAGTGTTTAGGATGTAACATATATCAACATTAATGAGTCCTTGTATGACACTCATCAATTAACAAAGATTGCTTATTATGATTATTGTCAAAGTTTTAACATTTTAATTTAATGTTTTGTGGATGTTAACTTAATTTATTGGTGGTGTTAATCACAAGTTGATGTCATTTAGGAGGTGGTGACTTGGATAACGATGGTTTAATAATTAAAGAGTTGAATTCCAACTAATGGGTCTCATTTCCGAGTCCCTCTCTACATACTTCGGCTTGAGAAGCCGGGTAATGTCACCACCTCCCACACACAGTTTGTAGCTCAAAGCCGAGTACGTAAATCTGTAGTTAGTCAGTGAGTTACATGCATTTACTGAAAACGGAAGAGAGCCGAATGGTTGGCTCATCCCAGTACGAAATTCATAAATACTGTACCCTTGACACTGATCGGACCCATGGGCTTCAAATCCCACATTGAGTGTGTTACCTTTAAGCCACTAAATTTAGGATCCAATGGTACCCTAATTAAGGTGTCAATCTGTAATGTATTCTATCTCCAAATATAATAATATCAATTCTCACTGTTTTAATTAATTAATCTTACATGTTTTTTAAAATTTTTTTAGCTGGAACATTTACTCGTATTTATCCAAATCAGTATGTTTTCCCTGGTGCTGAAATATATTTAGACAGTAAACCCGGTGAAGTAACGATCTCATGTAATGCCTCAGATATCTCTATTACGTCGAATGCATCATCAGCATCGTCTACTTCCGGTCATAATGATGACTTAGATCAGATAAGAGATTCACTTAAAGATGAATCTGTTTCCATTGATATAACTGAAAAAGAAGAGTCCAGTATTCATTCATCTGATTCGCGTAAATCTTTAAAACGGCATAATTCCAATGAGAATCTGTCTTTGAATAAACAATCATCGTTAAAACAACCTCGATCTATGTAAAAAAAAAGTAAACTGGAAGACATGAAAATCATTCAGTAAAGAAGTAGAAAAGAAGACAATTGACATGAATCTCATTAAAACAAAGACGACAACAAAAAGCTTGTTAGCTATTTATTCTTTTTCGTCTCATCCCATTGTTGCTTATATCCATAAATTTTTGTGTAAATAAATAAATAAATAAATAAATATATATATATATATATATCACATATTTTTTGTGTTTATTTTTATTCTTTACCGATATATGTGTGTATATCCTTCTTTTTTCAATGGAACATTTCGTGACTACCTTTTTATGACCACTTTTCATTGAGTTAAATTAATTCACACATTGTTAATATAGATTCTGTAAAAAAAAAGGAGGAACGAAGATTATAATGATAATTATTATCAGTGTTTCCTTTCAAACACATTTCCATGTATGTTCCTCACTTATTTTACTTGAAAAAAAAATTCTTCCCTCTTTTCTTTCCCACTTATTATTAATTTATTCATGATGAATTTTGAACATGTTTTTCTATGCATTTGTTGTACACTATAAACTTATTTTCTCGGTTATTGTTTTACAAACAATTATTATATTAACAAGTTCTTAAGAGATAAATATTACTTTTTTTTAAATTTAATGGAACAATATGTCATCGTTTAGCGACTTATGTATATGTTATTCACGTTAAACTAATCGTGAAATACATTTGGTATTGTTTGGCTTGTATCTTCCCATTGAGGTTTAAGACTGCAATTGATCAGTCTGTTATTGGCATATGTGCATAATGTGCGTATGCCTCGATATTACCTTAATTCACAAGCTATTTGTAAGCAATGATGGATAGTGGCTAGCAGTGGAATCCAGGACGCACGTTTCGTCCTATTTGGGACTCGTCAGCTGGATGTACCTGCATCTAGAGAGTTGATTTTCACTCTGAGAATCAAACTCAGTACCATTCGCTTCAAACGCTATCGCGTTATCCACTCAGCTACTGAATCCTGATAGCCAATTGCTTGTGCAATGGGATCGTGAAATAGTTTACACCACAGGGTATTAACAATTATAAAAAAATTTCATGCGTTGTATCTTATTCTAATTAGTATAGGAGTATGTGGAGATTGTTGAGTTTTCATAGATTACATCGTAGATTGATCTTAGATAACTATAGAAAACCAAGAAGCACTGGACATCTGTTTTTTTTTTAGTATGGGACTACTCGGCAATGTACATCAAACCGGGGATGGAATCTAGGATCTTCGGTTTCACGAGTGCTTGACTTCTAGATCGTTGAACAGTCATTCATTAGTGTACGTGTCTAACTTATCACGATTTGATATATTGGAAAAACATAAAAGGACTGTGGTTTGAATTTGTTGTTCAAGCCTTCTCCCACATTAATATACAGTTTTTAACGCTTTTCATTCTTCAAACTGGTCGTCCAGTAATATTGGTAATTTTAAAAATGATAGAATAGTTTAATATTGTTTTGAGATGGACATAAAAGCCAATAACATGTGCACTGATTACCTTCTTAATAACAATGGACTCCAGTAATCACTAATATGTACCTGGTCCTACGTTGTAGCTGACTGAATCACTAATACGGATTCAAGTTTAAAAGTGGTTACGATCAGAGACTATTCTATAGTATCAGGATACTATATCATCATTTATTTCGGAGGAAGAAGTGTCCACGTAGATATTTGGAGCAAATATTTCGATAATACTTGAACTAACCACTATTTCTTCAAAATATTTATTGTCATACCCTCAAAATTTGTCGTTAGGGCTAAGCAAAATAGTTGTTTTTAAGTCAGTGATAAATTAAGGATTTCATGCCTCTTTACCTTATAATGTGATAAATTTCTGAATCCTTTAGTATTTAAACATGCCCCGACCTACGTTGTCTTGGGCAACTGGATTGTGTCTACTACTGTGACACAGACAGTCTACAGTTCGGCACTTAGATTTATTATAACTACTGTCCAGTTTTGTTTATACTAGGTATAGTACAGATGGGAGATTATTTGATTCAAATCTCCATTTATTTATATTTCAGATAAGTCCTACTACTAGATATTTCCAAATCTTTATGCATAATTATTTCTAATATCATCCCAGCATTTCTCTCAAAGGTACTTGTAGTAGTAATCATGCTTGTAACTTGTTACCATAAACATTTCTTAATTATATCACAGTTTCAATAATATCCTTCTAAAGTAAAGTTTTATTGTCAAATCTATTTAAAGTTAGTGTACTTTTCGATGTTGTTGAATACCCACTTATATGATAATGATGTTGAGTTTAAACTTCAATTTGAAACGGGAACTTCTCTACCGATTTCTTTTACAATCAAATAGGTAGATCTTAATAAAAAGTAATTTGTTTAAGGTAGTCACAACAAGAATTAAGCGAGCCGGTATGGATAATAATATATAACGCAAATGTGTATTGTGTCATTTTGGTGGAGTTTCGTTCTTTGAGCTGGAAGACGAAACTTTACCAAAATCGTCTATTTGAACTACAAATTTTTACCATCTCATGTATTGACTCAGGTCGTCGTATTATATACAATGAAAGAGAATTACCAAAATAAAAAAGAATAGAAATAGGAAAATAACCTAGTCTGACTTGTGAGAAAACGGATCATGATATTTATTCTCTGAATGGAAACTAATTTGGCCATCTTGTAATAATTTCTTTCAAAAATTAAAATAGTCATGATAAGATTTAATTCACATGATAACTATAAAAGTGTTGTGAATTCACGACTACTTTAAAGATGTCTATATGCTACCATTACAATGCATCATCTTATTTATTTAGATAAAAATATGTTAACGACATACGAATTGATTCATTTTCAGAATATGAACATAGTAACCAGTTCACTCCAATCCTTGAAGATAATTATCCTCTTCTAGGCGATTATAATTTTCCAGTAATCCAACCATATCGTTTCTCAGAAACAATCAATATTTGAAATCCGTTGATATCAAGTGATTGAAGGCATGTGAGAGAAACCCTATGTGGATCTATGTTTCACGTGAGTTAGCGAAACCGACTAGTCAGTTGCCTTTCGCTTTTACAAAATACTATTTACAAGTACGGAAAACTAGAAAAAATCGTTCAGTTGAATTCAAGCTTACACTCTACTTTCCAATAATCTATCGGTGTAAAACTTTGTTCGTGAACAATCTCCTCTTAGAAAGATTACTTCCAAGAAAAAAATCTATAAACATCATTAATATAGACGTATTTCTATTTTCATATAAACTGAAAATGAATAATAACAATAAGAGAACTTTTTTTTACAACAGAAATTGAATGATACAAGCGTATGAAAGAAAACACATAAAGATAATGAGAAATACAGAATAACTAAATAGTTCATCACACAAATAAAAAGAGATAAATAAAAGAGCACAAGATAAAATATTCATAAGAACAAATGAAATAACAAAAATTAACTTGAATTTGTAAGTAGATACAATGAAAGTTATTAGCACAAAAATAATGGCAGCTGTATGTTAATTAATATAATATTAGAATTGATAAAGACAAATATGACAAAAACGCTGTTTGATTGATCTAACCACCGCCCATTCACCGCATACTGCCTCTTTGACCTATTCATTCAATTGATCAAATAATTAACCCATTCCCAATAATAAAATACATAAAATCTAGAAATCACTTTTGTAGACACTTTTTTTTTTAAAACGATATGTAAATGTTTTTGCAATTGTTGTTGTTATTGTTGTTACTACGTCATTCGGAACAAAGAGTGTAAAAGAAGAAATTGAAGTGAACTTTTAGATATTTAATAAAATTATATGAAGAAAAAAAGGGCGTTTGTTGCATAAAGGCAATTTTTCAAGTGCACATATCTAATATTCTTATTTATTTATACAATAAGTAAGTAGATCTGTGATGTGTAAAGCAAAATAAATATAAAAAAAGAAGAAAAAAGAAAAAAAAGAATGATACAACACACAATAAAGAATAAACTCTACTTTCAATAAAATAAATGATAATGTGATGAAATAAAAGAAAACGAATTCGAAAATAAATTAACGAAAGTAACCATTTTTAAGTGGTTAAGTTGAATTTTGATATACACATTTAGTTGAATTAAAATAAACAACTAATAAACAGTTTTTCACATAGATCTATTATTATTATTATTATTATTATTATTATTATTATTATTATTATCATTTGTGGTGTCAGCATCAGCGGTAACGTCAGTTAATTCTGTCAATTGTTGATAGTTTGAATTGTCAGTGTTTAAATTAGTTTGTAATAAAGGAATTTTAGATTTTGATAACATATCTATACGTGAATTATTACAAGTTGAACCGGGCATAGTTACAGAATCTTTATTTGTTTTTGTATTGGATCGAATTAAATTAGGATCAGTTGGTAATGAATCATTTCTAGGTGAGGATGTAGCAAGTTGAGATTTAGACATTGTTTTACTTATTAGAGGTAAATGTTCAGATTGAATGACACCTATAAAAGTATTGACAAAAAAAACATTAAAAAAAAAAGAAACAGTTCAGTACAACGTTTCGTAATAAAAACTCAATAAATCAGTCGAACATAGTCAACTTAGCACCTGGTATCAATTGACATCAATTCCAATACCTACGCCACAACAACAAAAATAAAGAATATGGAATAGAAGCTATAGAATTTAGTAAACAGTTACTAGATAAATGCAATCAAGACTTTGTTATAAATATTGCATCTACAATATGAACTAAATGAGATCCAAGCTAATCAATAAAATTTATGCAATCTCATTTTGATATTAGTAAACTACCTTTAATATGATAAAATTATGATTTATCCAATTCTGAAGTAAAATATCACTGATACTAATCATCTTCTTACAGATGAGTACAAAAAGAAATTCAAATGTCAAATAATTACTATTGTAATTCATATATTAACTACATTGTCCGATTAATGATTCGTTTGATTAAAACCAATTTTTCTTTCAACAATTTTCTGTTAAATCATATCAATTTTAGCTCGTAGAATAGTTCAGACAGTGATCATCCAATCCCTACACCACAACAACAATTAGTGATCATACACATTTAGTCTATTGAATAATAATATACAGTTAGTTTCTCTTTTTAATCATTTAAAATTGTTTAAATGAAATTAAACCATATAGTAATCTCATTGATTTTAACCATTTAACTAAGATATTCTTCGAGACCTCGGGTACTTTTGAATTATGCATAAACTACTTATTCATCAGTAACTAAATGATGTATAATAGATTTCTAAAGACAAGAACTCAATAAACGAATATTCGTCAAAATTAGAAAGAATAGTTTGACAGAAATTGGTTGCCGAGTATAGAGAAGACATTTGATGTATATAATTTTCAGACAAGAACTCAATAGCCTAATATATATTGCTTTGAAGCCCAGAGTAATACATTCTTGCCTGAAATTTTCCATTGGAACCCTTATACCTAATAATTTACACAAGTTTCCAACTGGAAAGTTTTCAAGTAGATAAATCGATTATCCAGGATTAATTACATTGTAATTCATTTACAACATTCTAAATTACATAATAAATAAAGAATAATACTAACGAAATTTATAAGTTAACAGTTAGGTAATCAAATTTAGTTTCAGTGGTACATTTAACATTTTTAGAATAATGTGTGAGTAATAATTTTTTTCCGTAAAAAGCTCTTCATATGAATCAATATCAACTGAAAATGTATTGTATTCACTACTTAAGACGTGCTAGTAGTATTCATCTTTTGATTCTGATCAAATACTACTACCACTACTACTACTTCTATTACTAAATACAATCGACATGTATCTCAGTCATTACACTGCAATTAAGCCAATGATAAAATTGTATGAAGATTTCATTAAACTACATTTATAAACTGATTTATTAAATTCTATTTCCCTGTCTTAACAGTATTATGATCAAAGATGGTTGATGACTAGCAGTGGAATTCAGGACGCGGGTTTCGCCATACTTAGTATTCGTCAGTTAGATGTTCATCACGTGTGAGCTGAAAGTTTTGATTTTGATTTCATAATTGAGTACTGTTGAGTAGTTACGACCTATTTAGTGTTATTTAGCTTTCATATGATTTATATTTGTGATAAAGACTACATACATACCAGATTGTTTGCTATTGAATTCTTTGGAAAATGTAGGTGTTGTGTTACTTATGGAAGGTATACAAATTGCTGAAGCACGCCTTTGATGTAAATTATCATCTACACTTTTTTCATAAATTGTTTCACCATGCATACTGTTTCTATGAGGTTGAGATAATGAAGCAGCAGAATGACGAGATGGTATTATCGCTTGTCGATCATGACGATACTTAATATTATTACTATTAGCATTAGTGTTATCAGTGATAGTATTATCATTTTCATCGTTATTTTTAACTACATTCAAGTCATGATTTGATGTAGGCAATGATGCATATGAACTGGCTGACGTTGTACTATATTGTGATGTTGGTGATGATCGTAGACGATGGGCGAAGGAAGAGGATTTACGCTGAAGCGTTGTCAATATAGGTGTGATTGGTGCGATCGCACAATCAGATGAACTGTGTAAATCTTCATTAAAATCACCAATCGGTTTCCATTGAGAAGCTAATTTTGTTTAACAAGAGAAAAAAGACAAAAATTAGGGGAAAATAAGGGGCAAGTGAAAACACAAGCGATTATTTTATGCTCTGACATCAAAACATAGGTATAAGGGGTTTGTGGAGGTAGTTGGATTTTCACAGTGTATATCATGGACTGATCTTAGATAACCATTGAAAATCGAAAAGCAATTCAACTGAGGATGGAACCCAGGAACTTCAGTTTCACGACTAGTGCCTGACCTTTAGATCATTTAACAGTTACTCAATGGTGTACATGTCTAACTTCAATCAATTCATGATATTGTGCAATAATCAACCACTGCCATTGGCGCATAACCGTCTGGTGCTTCTTGGCTTTCAATGATTATCTAACTAAGATCAGTCTGTTATTAAAACTATGAAAATAAAATATAGACCAACTAGTTATCGATGTCTGTTACGATGAACGCATATATATATATATATATATATATATATATATATATATATATATATAAAGTTGTGGAGTTCTATTTTGAAAGTGTTATTTTTATATTCTGAAACTAATTGGAGTATCAATGAAAACTATAGAACATTCAATGTGGACATACAATCTTCAAAAGGGTCAAACCCATGATCTTTAGGTATCCCAGCGGGTGTATCACCAATGGACTGGTGAGTTGATGAACGTTGGTTAATATTTTTAATTTGTGATATGGTAGGACATGTATTCACTGTGTTTGATAGTTCTTATTTCACTTCCTACAAATGTCTCAATGGAGCACCAAGAATTCCTCTTTATTAGCCACCAGAGATATACTGTTGATAGGGTGGGAAGTTAGTGAAGACTGGATCATATTACAAAACTACTCAACGGCTTATTCCTAATAATTCCTCAATTTTTTATGGAACTTGAAAATGAAGACCCCTAATGCATGGAAGTGGGCTGTTTTAGAAGTGAATGGGATGACTTCTATGAGTGATGGTATTCATAGATCTCTAAGAGCAGAATGAAGAGACACCTACTTAATAACTGTGAATATTATAAACACGGAACCGTCTGATACCATAATCAAATGTCCAAAACTTTACTGTTGTTTTATTTGAGAGAGTTTGTATTTCCCTATTATTGATATTAATTTTCTAGCCAATATCTGGCTTTAATATTTACTTGTGAATAAACGTTTATATTCAGGCAATCCATACAGAGTACAGACATTTTCAAGAGAGGTTAAACGACTTCCCGGTTCTTAACATTAATAACAGGAAAATAAAAATGTTTACAAAAGAATTTAAGTTCCCTGTGTAAGTCAACAGTTATCTGGACTTAGTAGATCAGTAAATAATATATTGAAATTTAAAGACAAAGGTCCTAGATTTAAATCTCAGTGTGAACATTAATGCCAAGATGGATTTTAGATACAAAATATTTGAAAAGAATTCTGAAAATGTGCCTCCACCTGATTCCATAAAATTCATTTATCTTAAAAAAGAATGTTTCACAATATTTCGCGCTGATATCAAGAAATGTGTTCTTTTCAAGAATAATATTTAAAAAAAGTAATCGGTCTTGGGTATGTTATCTTCATTGTCTAGCTAGAAATAAGTGATTACAAACCACACTAATTGATCACTTAATATCAATCAATGTCAGGTTGTTTAGTCTTGAAAATAATTAAATTCTATTGATCTTCACATGGTATGACTAATAGTCCAAGTAGACCAATATCAGGCAGCTGAATGTTAGATTAAAAGCAGTTGGTAGAAAGTTCTGGACCTAGGTTCCTTGATAATTGACCCCTATCTGCAAAACTTAAGTGCTCATTTTGATGGAACATATGTTCTTTCTAGTATTTGAACTCGTGAAACACAGTTTTATAGTCAAATATTTTAATACTGTGTGATGAGTGTTTAAAACTAAAGATGAAGGAAATCAGTTTTCTCTCAGGATTACTAATAAACTCTATTAACAAGTGTTAACTGCCACGAACTTTAGACTCAAGGCATCCTGATGACCGCTTTTAGTAACTTTGTAGTAAACATAGTATACAATTTCTGTAAATAATTCCTATACTTCAATCATATCCCATTATCATTTAAATATGCAGTGAATAAAATTCCTGTTGCAACCCTCAGTCTGTGATGTTAAAATTGACATTTCAGTAAAGGAGTACATTATAAAAAGTACAGAATTAGAGGGTAATTATGATCAATAAAATTCGTGGATATTAAACATCAGAATAAGGTCTCAATCACTTCAGTTTGATTTTATATACAGTATAAACCAAGAATTTTAATTCAGCCAGTTGGATTTTCGAATTAGTTGAATCCCACTAATCAACCTTCACAAATGACCTGTATCAAGAAAGTAATCGAATATTTTATAACTTTTTGATTGAGATGATGAATCGATCAATGTTAGACTACCAGATTAAGATAAATAAAATCATACAGTTTTAGTGAAAGAAATTTTTGGTTGCTGAATACTGTTTATTTCGGTTAAAATTTTTTTTACTATTTTGGTGTCATTTTTTCCATACAGAAAAGTCGATTTTATTTCCGAACATATTTCCTCAGTTGGTTAGTGGTTTACATTTCGTTTGAGATAAGATAGTCAATTGTATGACCAAATTATCAGTTCGACTACTTCGATCATTCTAGCACTTATTCAACTAATTATTTAGTGACAATAAAAGTTCAATAACTAGTGTTAAATTACTTATATGATTGTAGGTCAACTGATAAAACTGGTTAATTCATTATCTGGTTGTGACCTTATTTTCTATATTGACATTGATTATTTACATAGTACACAATGATAGAAATTAGGACTATTTGAATGATTATACACTTACATGATCCAATAATTATCTTTACTGTAGATTATCATAAGTGAATTTCAAGGAATTAATGTGTTTACAAAGAGAAGCAGAATGAATTTGAACTATAGATTCATAAACACAGATTTTCATAATGTTTTTGATCGAGATCATGGATTGATCAATGTTAGATCACCACTGAAAACCTGAAATCACTGGACGGCCATTTCGTCACAGTATGGAACTCCTCAACAGTATGCATCCACGATATTGCACACAGAATTCAAACATAAGACCTTTGGTCTCGCGCACGAACACCTAACCTCTAGATCAGTGAGCCGGTGTCCAACAGTGTATTTAATGAGATAATACATTAGTAACGAATAATCAAGTCAAAATACCATTTACCAGTCAGTTTCTGAAAATCTTTAATGTTAATTTGTCTTTAATGATAACTGAATGCTATCGATTTGGTTGTATAAACTATGTATAAACTTAAGTGAGGTCACTATAATTATTCACCACTTTAATGATGATTTATTAGGAATAGTCTGGACGGGGGGTATCCAGTTGGGGATTTGTAATGTATTGCAGTCATATGCTTTGCTGTTGGATATCAATTAATATAAAACTAAAATTAGGTGGCTTTTACCAAGGATTAATTTTCAAGAAGTTAATGTAGTATGAATTTTTTCTTCAGTCTAAATAGGACGAAAAGATTTCTTATATAACTTGGATTTTAAGCATGGTTTTCAATACTATGTACCATTAGTGGTAAAACACACCAAATAATGTTCAAACCATAGATATTTATTTAATGGTTCATTAACGTTCCAGATCAGTAATTATATTCTTAAAAATATGCGTAACATTAATACAAGTACAGGTCTAAAATATTTAATTACTATTTCATATCAGTAAATAAATATCAAGTTATGATAAATACATTTTTTTAAATTTAAATCATGAACTGATCTCAGCTAGAACACCGTCGAAGATCTGAAAGCATTGGACTGTCGTTTCGTCCTATTATGAGATTCCTCAGAGATGGTGATCCAAGATATCCCAGGACAATAGGTCTCACTTGTGAACGCTTAACCTCTAGACAAGAGAGCCAGCATCGAGATTTAAACTATGAAAATCCTACAATCTCTACAAACCCTCTTATACATTCTTGATTCGTAAGGTAAGGTTGATACATCTTTAAGAAAGTACGTTGCATAATATAATCGTACTAATACATATATATGCATAGCAACTACAACTTAATTGTATACGACCACATTAAAACAGCATGCATGATATATAAAAACAAATACCAAGTGCATTGAAACAAATGTGTTGAATAAATTTGATAGGCTTCACAACAACAATAGAACGATCACAACATACTTTAACAACAAACATTATGATGATAATGACGATAGTGCTTTAAATGATGACAGTGATGATGGTAATATTTAAGCATTTCACGTAAAAGAATTATTAACAACATGTAGCACAACACAATATCAAACAGTAATTATGATGCATGCTTACTGGATCATAATAACAGATTTAAATATAGATGACTAGATTCCATTTGATCAAAGTAAAGACAATAATTACTCCAGTGTTGGCCAATGTAAAGAACGTCATGAATGTTAAGTTAAATTACAAAGAAAACATTTTATATATTTAAAGAATTGATAACTAAATAACTTTTAAGAATTTTAGGAGTTGGTTTTGTGTAAAATGAAGAAATAACGTATAAAGTGTAAATATATGCATATATATAAATGTATATTTATGAATGTATGTAGTTTGTAGTTGACATAGTTTATTAAGAAGTTTAGATTATTTTCTAGTATGTAATGATTGATGTTTCTTTCCTAGTGTATGAGAATTAGTGGTATTATTATTATTATTATTATTATAACTACAGTTATTATGATTTGCTGGATTAGGCTTTGTACTAGGCATAACTAAATAAAATGCATTATCTTGTCCAGGGCCATTCATCATTAATTGATATAAATTATGAGTATCATTACGTGAACGTTTATGAACAGTTTTTAAACGTGATGAACTAGATAAAGATGATTCAGAAGATTTAATTATAGAATTTTTAGTCGTTGTATTCGATATAAGATAATCAGTAATCTGTTTACTATCATGACAACTACTACTGTGACCACTTTCACTACAGCTACTTGTTGAACTAATCCCTGGATGATTATATTTATAATTATTACTACTATTATTTAAGTTGTTTCGATGATTTGATTTTATTGTTGAAGATGAATGTTGAAAAGTAACAGATGAAGGAAACCAGTATGAACCGTGACCAACACCGGCTGCTTTAGCTAAATCTGCTATACTAGTTAAGCGTTCACAGGCATCTAAAAAATAGATATGCGTGTGTATGTGTGCATGCATAATAGACCAGAATGTGCACATGTTGTAGTGAATAGAATCATACACATGAAAATATGCATGCAATAGTAAAATTGAGATTTCATATGCGAAATTCATATACATATACGATTTTATGTGTACAATAAGAAAAGAGAAATGTGTCGAATGGAAAGGATAATATAAATGAAAAACATAGGAGAAAAGCAAAAGAAAAAAGTTCGTATAATTAGAAGCAATAAACAATATGAAATATATACAATATTTAACTACTCGACATTATATATATATATATATATATATATATATATATATATATATATATATATATCAAATGAGTGTACTGATCTGAAGTCTGATGTTATGGTGTACATTAATACGAACTGTCTAGAAAGTAAGCATTATTCAAAACACTGTTCTCAAGACGTCCAGCCACCGACTGGGTAATGTTAAGTTTAGACAGAATTTTAAGCAAAATAAAATCCACTAATGCATTTATCAACTTATATTGATCAAACTAGGTGGGATATATTTTACATATACTGAAACTCTATTTACTTTAACGCGACATGTTAGTTGATAATAAAAACTGTTATACAATGGCCAGGTAGTTACACAACACTGATCTATGTAGTCTGTAGCAATTATTTCTTATGAGCCTCATAATAGCAGCCGACTCAATAGCTTAAGTGGACGTTTAGTAACATGAATTAAGGTGGAACAGCCGCCTAGTAGTTAAAAGACAGCTTTCAATAATTCATTCTAAGATTCAAACTTAGCTTCGCCTCTTAATTTCGGTAGTTAAACAGTGTTGGTAGTTTTTATATGGAAACTGTGGCTTTGAAGTGAGCACATTAAACTTTGTGTTTGGCTACTGAGCTACATAAAGGAATAAATAAAATACATGGCCTACAATTAATCTTATTGACCTATCCAAATAAGGGATATTTCATCATATACATATTTCTGTTCTTTGCTCTAATTTTTTTCTTATGACCTTTCAATCTTACGATTTTTTTCCAGTGTGGATATTGATATTTTCATTCCTTTCAAACTTCTTTACATAATTTTCTTTGTGGTGCTAACACAAAGTAAGGGTTTCTTTATGCCTCGTTGATCCTCATATATCTAAAATTTATACTAAATATATGCATAAACTTATCTGTACACTACTTTAGATTCATATGGTATACACCTTAGACTTCATAGGTCTTCTTAACTCGTACTCAAGCGTGTATAAACATCTATGAATTAGCATTAACAAAATAACTACTGAAAACTAAACAGCACTGATTATCTATTTCTTCCAAGTATGAAACTCCTTAGAACTGAAGACAAATGATCCTTCTGTTGACAACCATATATATATGTCAGAAAAGTAATTTAATGTGTGTTGGGAAGGTATACAAACTTTGTGAAAAGATATTAGTAATGATTTGTAATTTCCAACTTTTTTTATCACGACTGCAATTGATCAGTCCCTATTGACATATAAGTACCCAAAGCAAATTATCCCGCTGGCTTAGTGGATAATAAGTTAGAGTTTAAAGCAATAAGCATTGGGTTCGAATCCTGGCGTGAACATTAACACTAGTATGCAGGTATGTTTAACTGATGATCCTCAGATACTGTAGTGGACGCTACACACAATATTGTGTTAGCAATGAGTAGTGGAACTTGATATCGATGTCCTACAACTGTCAGATGGAATGAAGGGTTTAAATACATCGAAAACAAGGTGTTACCATAACACTAAGAAATCAGACTAGAAAATGGTTCAAATTGAAGAGCGCACCGATAATGCAAATGGAAGATTGAAGGCTATATATATGTAATATGTAGATACTTCCTACAATAAAAATAAACTCCTTGTGCCTATTGACGTGTTTTGCAATACTATGAAACGTGGAGTCTGGATTCTACAGTTATTCATAATCAAAAATTTAGTCTTGTATATATATATATATATATATATATATATATATATATATATATATATATAATAGAGGAGAGGAAGATGAGAATGAAACGTACCTCGACATGGATCATTTTTAACTAAAATTCGTCCAGTGTCACCCAACCACCACCTACACGAACCATTACAGCACTACGAAGGATGCGAACTAGACATAATTTTTGTGAGTCACCGAACTGTATATCAGGAAAAAAACATTGATCAGTTTACAATATATCATAAAGAAAAGAGACAAGAGAATACTTATATAAAATACGATATGATAGTTAAATGGAATTTCGTGTAACAAGATATATACAAGAAACCTAATACATTCTAGTCAATATTAACTTACAGTAAAAATAAAGCAGAATGAGTTTCAAATGTTTACATGATGGTCTTATGAGTCATTTAACTAATTTATTGAGTGATTATTCAAGAAACAATATCCTCAATATATAATATAAATAATAAAATAAGGAGATTAATAATATTTATCAGCCTTTTGAAAACAAATCAACTTTATACCATTGGAAAGTTATCATTGAAATGATAAAATTTTCAAGACATGAGATTCAATACCTAATTTTACTCACTTTTGTATTTATCAGCGATACTTCAGGTGATTGGAGATAGTCAACAAGAAGCTCTGCTACTTAGATTAGTGGTTACATAGGATCTTGATAGATAATCTTTCTTTACCACCAAAAAGTAGCCGGATATGAGATTGATCATCACTCATTGACTAGTCAGCGCAATTAGTAATACGTATTTATATTATTTTCTAATATCTGTATATTCTTTGTTTTATATGTTTTTCCAAATAATATAGAAACTTTATCCTTAAAGTTTATAACGAATAAGTACCGTGGAGAGTTTTCCTGGACTGATTACGAAAAAGTACTTGTTAACATGAAGATATTACTGTCACATGAGATTTAAGTCCTTTTGCAAATAAAACGATAGTCTTAAATTCACTTTATAACAGCAAAATCATTATCCGTTCCTGTATAAAACTAATAATCATGAAAACTAGTCTCTAAATAGAATATTTATAAAAAATGGTTAGTATTTATAATCTTTGAGTTAAGGAGACGCTTATTAGTAATATTTCTGAAGATAAATACAAGGTTATCTTGAAAGTTAATTATAAAAGTATTTTGTGTATGACATGAACATGAAACTTGTTCCACATTTCAAAAAATTGATATGGAATTTATAGAGCCCAGTGATATTGAATTCCAACCCTCCAAAAATACTAGATGAGTACCTGGAAAGTTTCGAAGAATAACCAATGGTGTATTATCTATTCTATACAACCATTTTATTAACCAAGTACTGTGAATGAATTCACGCTGTTAGACAATGGTAGTCAGTCTACAAGGACTAAGGTATTTTGTATACTGTTAAGCATTAAAAACCTTATATCTACAATATCAAAACACTCTATAATTTCCCTGTCTTCCTGATAGACTTGAAACTTCATACTGTAGCCAGAGATACTGCAATCGAGATCAACAGTGAATAACACTGAGTTAAGTTTCTTGAAATTCGTAAATTAATCAAACTGTAAACTTGATATACAGAAAAAATTCTATTAATTACTGTGATATTGACAGATTTATAAAATACATTGTTAGTTTGTAAATTCACTATATTTATTTATACTGAATTAAAACTGACCCGATATTTATTTGTTGCCATTTTCTTAATTTTATATGTGTTATGACATGTACACAATCCAACTTGACGTTTTAGTTCATCATTAATGGTTTCTTCATCCGATGGACCGAAACGATTTAAACTTAATGAACTACCACCATTAGTATTCGATGATGATGTTCTATCTAAATTAGCATAATTAGCTCTTAGTGCATTTAAACATTCACGATAATCAATATATCCATCTCCATTAGCATCGAATATATCTGCAACTGTTTCCATTTCAACACGGCTTGTTTGGAATTCTATATAAATAGAGAGAAAAGACTTTATTTAGAAAAATAGACCTGAAAGAATCGAGAAGAATCTTTAGAGAATGATGTATTATTTGGTAGGTGATGATAATTTAATCAAAGAATTATGAAGAAATCTTTCCAGAAGAAAATTACAAATAACATATATCAACAGTTAAAGCATTTCCAAAGAGCATTATACATCATGAAAGAAGTTAAATTTCAATCTATTTATGTAAAGACAATAGCATAAAGCTAAACTATTTGTATATAAGAAAAATATATATCTATATACTCGAGAACCAGACAATAAAACTATGATAACAATCTACTTAGGATGAAAATAAATCTAAATATGACTTAGTAAATATTAAAAAAATTTTAATCCCCCCTAATAGTAAAATTGACTAGATTGTACCAGGGCAGTTAGTTTTTCGAGTAAAATGTAAACAGGGTGTATTCAAGAGGCGGTAAGTCGTGTTCAATGTTCAAGACTTGCCATGATTCGAAGACCGTCAAGTTAGGGGTAGTCACAGAAACCAAAAAAAGTTCATATAATTGTGATTTAATATAATGGGAATTTGTCTAGCGATTAAAAACATTTTAATCCTACTAAAATAACATCAATGTTGATAATTTCAATAGTTTTGTTAAGATAATTTATCAGTTGTGATTATTTCTCAACTTATATGTAGATTATCCTGAAAGATGAAACAAAATGAGAATATTCTATGCCTAGAAAAGATAAGAAGAACTAATTAGAAATGAAAGTCTTCGAAACGCAACTTTCAAAATTGATTATAATAATTTATTTTTCACTCTACAACTATTTACTACTCGTCTGAGTATGTTCTAGTTCCTCCTTACAAATATTATTACTATTATTATTAACTTTTGTGGTTTGTAAACTTATTGTTCGCTATGTTGTTTCTATCTAGTTACAGTGGTGAACTAATTTATTGGCCTCTATATTGTGGTCCATTTTGTCTGTCTATCTGTCTACCTAAATGTCAAAGGAAAGTTTTTATGAAAAGTCCCAAATAGCATTGAACACAGTTACCAGGCTCGGAAAGCCAGTCAGACTGGATTACTAGTGTAAAATTTTGATTAGCTCATAAATCAAGCATTATTTTTGAGTAAAACAAAAAGTAGTAAGAGTAATCGATAATCTTAGAATACAGTCAAGGTCAAAATAATTGTTTTCTATGTCAATCAGTCATAGAATTAATATAAACAGTCAAGTATAAACAAAGTTTGACCTGATATAAAGGTGTAACAGTTCTGGTGGTCACATTTTAGATCGATATAACAGGAGGAAATCGATGAGCGAGAGATTCAGGCGCTGAAATAATAACAGTAACGGTAGTGTACACATTAGATTTGAAATAATCTTAGCGACCGAAATTTATGTAATTCCGACGTTTGGTCCTTCAGTCTTATCTGGACTTCCTCAGGATAGTGAAAAAAATTGGAAAAGATGAATGAATAAAGTGAGACATTTTTGTCCAACGATAAAAAGTAACCGCATAATACATAAACATATTGTGATGTGCGCTACTTAGGCAGACAGATATGAATAGTATATAGAGGGAATAGGAAGTGGAATACTTACCAGCAGAAGATTGAAACAAAGAGGAGAGGAAGGAAGATAGAGGGAAATCAAATAACAACAGGACTGGAAACATGATGAGGAATGTAAGGGACAGCTCAAGGAAGATATGCAAATAATGGATTTAATGTATGGTTTTCATATTTTACAAAGGAACTGTGTGATTTCACACAAAATAAACCTGTTTACCTTACTTGTCTTTAGTTCGTGCCCCCAAATGCCCTGGTACGGCCGAGAGTGGGGAGGGTCCCCTCTCCCTCTCGAAATGCTCTCACATGGCCACGCGTATATAGCCTCTGCCAGGGATGTCCTACTCACTGCCTTCTCGTGGCGGGGCTGTTGTTTACGAAAATGAGAGGACGAAAAGCGAATGTCTGGCGCTCAAACCGGATTCCAAACCAATGGTGCACAGGGGCTCCAGTATCCTGCGGGAACAAATGGCGTATGAACCAATTGTTGGTCACCGGCTTCCATGGGACTGCATCTCCTTACGATGCTCCACTGCCTTGTGGATCAGACCTTCAGGTCTAAGGCTCGGGGAGTGGCCCCCTGAGAAAACCACCTGCTTCGGTTCGGGCACCCGGGCAGTATCACAGACCTCACATATGTCGAATGAGATTTGTGTGGCGCATATATATTTGGCGCACTCCTGTACCAATATCTATGTGTTAAAATAAATAAATAAATCGTGCCAGTACGCTACAGTCAGTTGTCGCATAATTTGGAAGTTGTTTATTTGTGCAAAATAAAATGGGCACAAAACATCTAGTTTTAAATCTTTGAAAAGTTAAATAATTTTCGGAGGGATTTTTGAATGGTTTCTTTGTAAAAAGTGATCATCAGTATTGCTCAAAGGAAATGTGTAAAACAGGATGCTAGTTTATTATTTATTGATTTATGGATTGGTAAGATAACTGACCAAAGTGAATAGGTTTATATATGACAAAGAGGTTGAGAGTTTGATGTTTAAAAGTAACCTGAATATCAATAGTTAGAATGAAGTATTGTGAAGACCGCTGTTCTTTGATACAACCAAAAATGTGTGATATTTTTTTGGAATGCGATGTTAGCTCTTGACCACGTTTTTTGATAAATATGATGAATAGTCAAACGCAAATTTAGAGTATAAAACAAATATTAAGGATTTACTTCAAATTCTTTCGCTGAGATTTTACAAATACATTCTTCCTCTTTAATTTTTCACATTAACGCGGCGCCCAATATTGTGAAACTATTCATTCAAATTTAGACGAAAGTTCTTATTTAAATATTAGGGTTGTATGAGTCATTATTGCTCAAAATAAACAGACGGTGAGTAGTACCTATCGAGAAATAGTTATATAATTAAGCTCGTATTCTAAATTTTAAACTTGGTAGGAATAAAACGCTACCAAGTTTCACTAAGTTTCTATCAGTAGTTTAGGTAAAATAGTTGAATATCAGAAGGAAGGTCTCATTAAAAACTTGTTCGATTACTTTCTAGCTAAACAGAGCAGTAACAAACATTGTGGTGGATAGATCATAAAATCATCAAAGTAATAAACGTTTATTCGTTAGACTTATTTTGAGCATGATACCTATAATTCATTGTAGATGTCCATGACCTGTATAATCAATCAAATTGAGAATAAACTAAATATCCATCGATAAAACATCAGATGAGTGTAGTGATGGGATATATCAATCACTACAGGAAATACATGAATGCATACGTTTTGATATTATGTGTGGTAGTAGGTGTAGACTACTGAAATGATAACTAGAATAGAACAACTACAGAATGTTCTCTACTATGCAGTAATTTTTCATACATCATCAGTCATAGATGAAAGTATTTCATAAACTACTAATTCACTGTTTCAAAAGCATTAGTTGTAATTTACTAGTTACACGTAAAATCATATATCAAGTTGAGTATTGTATAGAAGCTTACAATATTGTTATATTTTCAATATAGATTAAACCATATTTGAATCTATGATTCTGTTGTATTAAAAGTTGACTAACTGTACTAATAAACAGATTTAAACTCTACACTTTACTAAATTCAATTTGGGCAGTTGGATAATGTTCTTAGCCCCTTCACTTAAATATTAGCTTAAAGCCAAATGTACAATGATCTGTAGTTGATAAATAAATTCGATAAATCAATTAATTAAACTAATTAGCTACTATTTCTTATTCTTAGAACTTTGTTCTGTATAAGTTGTTAAACATCTAGTCGAATACATTCTTTATCTATTACATTATGTACATTAACTTACTAAAATGCATCGATAAATACAATATTTATTTCTAATTAGAATAACGGTTACATGTACATAATATTAGTTCACTTTTCTTGTTGTTTTGTCTTTATTATTATTATTAGGTTACGTTAATTCTAGAACTGTGATAGTATTTTTGACACCATAAACAAATAAATATAATGTAATATAAATATATTGATGTTTAAAATTATCAGCTATTCATAACTGAGCAACTAAGTAAATGAAAGTTTACTTAGAACATCTACTAGTTCAAGGTTGATTACCTTTTTTTCAAATTAATACTATTTAGCGTGTTTATTTTGTTATAGGTTAGTGCATTCTTGCGTTAATTAATTTATTATGATTTACAGAGTCAACTAAATCAGAGATGTGGTTGTAATTCATTGATTAAGCTGAATGGATTTTGTGAAATTGGATTCTAACTTAACAAATCAATGATATCATGTTCATAATGAACTCTGAGGATTTAAAATTTTAAACTTTATATTGAAGTTATGTGTGTATGTACTGATGAGATGTCTTGTACTAGGACAAAAATACTGTCCAGTCGTTCTAAGCTTCTAGTGGTTCTTAAACTAATTTGTAGTCACTATTAAAATTATGTAAACGATGTATTCTTTGTTTTAGAATCAAATAAATCTTGGAGTAAAAATTGCTTAGTATTTTAACTACGGTTTACACACAGAATTTATGTTTCCAGCATTGCGTATGAGATTTAAGTTCGGTAGATGAGATCTTACGAAATCTACATGATATATGATTATATATTATTTCGTTCGGTTTTCGAAATGTAACTGGAAATGAACAGAATGTTTAAATTTTCTCAGCCTTAAAAAGCTACCTTCAGTATGTTCTAGTGAGGTATTTTTAAAGGTACATCGTTTACTGGATATTTTCTAAATCACCTATTTCTTTTCGTATTGTATTTAGACTAGAATTGCGCTGATCGAATTGGTTTCATCTGTTAAACGAAACTAAATCCCTGAAATAACTTTGTTCTTGAAGTCAGCTACCAAATCGATGAGATTATTCAACATTGTGACATCTGACGAACTTCCGTCTAATATGTAAATATGTATATTTCAAAAGCTATATAAAAGTTTGTGTACTTGGCTATTCGTCACAATAATTATAGGAAAGCCAATCATCCTAGCTAGCTGCCAGAGTTTTACTGAGCGAAGCAAAATTCGAATATATAACTTGATGATTAGTTGCTGAAGCTGAATGATTAAACAAAGACAGTGATATATCAGAAGTGAACACCAAGGTTATCTTTATATGGAATGCATACATATACACCTGCATATGAATTTTTAAGATATATTATACAAAATGAGATATGATATGTATTACGAGATCTAATTATGTGAAATTGATAGTTTCACTATCAAATTCAACGATAACAGAACAAACTGTGAAGAAATTCTGATAATTAACTTCTATTTAAAGTATGTACTGATGATGTTGTCAGAAATAAGCAACAACAGTGAAGGCTTCATTATCAAACCGTCAAATTCACAAAACACAATATCTCCAAAAAAGGGTGTTGTGCATACACTTAGCTTATAGGTAAGAAAGGTTATATTTACATATTGTATGATAATGAGAATACTGTCCAGTGTTACTAAGGGCTACCTCGACATCAAATTTGCACATTAAAAACAGTAAAAATGTATACTGATAACAGAAATCGAGTACAATTTAATTATTCTAAAGAGATCAGTAGATAAGAATATCTTATTGTAAAGTAGAATCAATATACTAACAAGATAATTGTGAATTTACTTAGTAATATGTATCTAATGATGAGTTAGATTTATGTGTCACCCATATATTTTAACTGCAATCAACAATCTACTTATGTTATGAAAAAAGTTTGAGTAGTAATAATATGAGAATAATTTCAGAAAGCAAAAAGCATATATCAACACAGCGAAAGTAACATGCCCAACAGAATAAGGACATATACTTTGGATGAAAGAAAAATTTAGCAATACTATAACACTAGCTTGAATTCAACCCATTTAATTGTGTCATAGTATGCAGAAAGCATTTTAAAAGATTTGCCCGAGAAGATGCAAGCGGAAAAAAAGTACACAATAAATTTGAATATACAAGCACAAGTATAATGTTTTAAAAGTAAAAGAATAGAAAAAGTAGTCGAAGTACACAACTTATTCATGTTGAACACGATCGAAAAATACACAAAAAAAATCGATAAAGTTGTACACATACATATACATATACTTACACACGCACACACACTTACTTTTTCGACTTGCATTGTCTATTTAGTATTAAACGCAGAAAAATCAATTTAGCATTAAAGGGAAAATAGTGTAGATAATGATCTCTCAGTAGTAGATCAGTTCACATAAAATTGCACCGAGAATCAAGGTGATCTATTCTACAACTACCATATTCAGTGAACGGAAAAAAAGATTCAAAGCAATTCGTAAGTACTAACCAGAAAATTTACTACTCTTGTGAGCCACTTTTGATCGAGAAGTACGGAGTTCAAACCTAAAACCTAACTGTTGAAAGTCAAATACTGTATTCGTTGGACTACGATTTGACTAGACTATTCAGTAATGTAATAAAAGGCTTGGAGCTCTTTTGGGGTTACTATCGATCCTAAGCCCGGTTAAACGAGGAGGGTTGGGGACCGGATTAGTAACCTCAACCCAAAGAAAGCCTTGTTAAAAACACACACCAGAAAAAATAATTCAAACCATAGACAGAGTGATACAGTTATACCACTGAGGGTTTGTACAAGCTTGCCGGAGTTGGTATTACTTCAAGAATAATGTCTTTAGATTGGATCATTGGAGATAAAACATTGTTACTAAGTATGTATCAAGTAATGATAAAAATAGAAACTGGAAACAGGAAAATTATAATTTCAGGTTGGTTTGTTTTTTTAAAAAGACATTATGTAGTAAAGCATCATTATTCACTGCCCAGTGCTTAATTATATACAACGAAAGATGTGAAATAATTGGATTTCCTTTTCTAAAGTAGCTTCTAATGTAGAACAGTTATTTTCAAGCTAAATGCTTACTATTCAACAAAATATATCATAATGTTAAAAACTATCATTTAGGATTGTAAATAGCACAACTATTCATCATCATTACACAGTTACGAAATAATAAGTTAGATTTTATATTTCCTACACAAAACTTACTCATTTCTATTATACCATCAATAAATTCAGCTCTTGTAAGTCGACCATCTCGATCACGATCTTTACGATGAAATAAATCAATAACACGTGCTTTATTTGTACTTAACCATGAAACATAACGTTGACGCCATGATTCAAAATGAAAATCTTTCATTTTTTCCACTTCATTTAAATAAGCTAAACGTTCATTTAATTGGGATTTACGTGTTAACATTGCAATCCATAATTCTCTCCAATTTAAATATAATTGATTAATATTCGGTGAAGTGAAAATTGATATAGATGGATTATGTTGTTGATTTGCTGTATTAATAGAACGGTTGAATAGATTACCACTGGGTCGTATTGGTAAACGACTTCGGCGATTATTATTATTAATATTATGAGATGATTTAACTGGTGTACGTCGTTTAGCATGTTTTATAATATTTTCATAAATAGGTTGTTTTTGTTTCACTTCTTCTTCTAAATGACTATGTAGATTGAGTAATTGTTCAATGATTTTTGAATCGGTTATTTCATTTAAAACTGTTGTAAAATCAGTAAGAACTTCAGGTTGTTTTAAATCTTTACTATTTATACTACTATTACTATTGACAACAACGTTAGGTTGGCGAGCTAAAGAAGTTATAGTTGATATAGCAATACGTTCTTGAGTTATGGAAAATAAGTCTTTGGAGTCTATTGATTTTGAATCATTTGAGTCTAGTTTACTTTTAGCTGATTGTAAATTAGTCGATGAAGATGACAATGATGATATCGGTATTGATGTTGGAATACTTTTCAATTCACTCGTTTTTACATGTATCCATTGCATGAGTTCTTCACGTTGAAGTTTACGCTTATTCTGTTCTTCTAAAGCTTCTTGCAAACGATCTCCACGTTGTTCCGACCATGAAGTTAACTGGGTAAATTTTTTGTTTAGAAAAAAATTAATGAATAACAATTGGTGGAATTAAACTAAATGCAATTAAACATACTAGTTGAATTAGGTTATGGACAAATTTATGTTTGTATTGCAAAACAAAGTCACGAGGGAATGCAGGACGATCTTCTCTTTTAGTCCGTCTTTCATTAAAGTTGGTTATCTGATCCATTTAGATTGTGAGTTCAATATTCATAGTCACAAAACTTAAAGTCCTTAGAAACTAATCTATTTTAATTGAAATAAGTAAGTACAAAATCAACGATTCACACCCAAAAGCATTATTATTCAAAATTACAAATCCTTTACTTTACAAGCTTGAATCAGTTTCCACCTAATTTGGTTTGAACCACCGAAGTGTCACTTGAAAGCTCTGACTCATAGCTGAGTAAGCGAGTCTTCATTTTACTGTTGCAAAGGATTAGTTTGCTAAGTCAATCTAATTACCAAGACGGTATAGTTTTTCGAAACAACTCTCCATGATATTTCTATATATGTTAAACAACTACTGGAAATAGGATGTACAATCGGTAAACATCTCATCCGAATGTAGGACAATTTAATAAACTACAAACAAAACTCTTTCGTTATCTAATGGAGAAAGATTACAAAAACTAGATAATTTAACTATCCAACTCACCATGATTTTGTTTATACTCAATTGACATCAAGTTAAATTGAAAATCGTTTCCTAATTTATGAGAAATACTGTTTCACTAAGTTAAATTGGGCTTGATAAAATGAACTTAATCTATATCTTACAAAATGATTTTAGTTTTGAATTTTAAAAATGGGAACACTCCAGCAGATCGTTTTTCATCAGAACAAGGAGTTCTTAAACAACAACTTCAATGATAAAAATGAATTTCATTTATAACACTTTACTTGATAACTTCTATCTACCGTATTTGTTTGTTGGGGCCAACAAAAAGATAAATAGCTGGTTAACGATGAGGTATCTTGTAGTAAATGAAAGTTATTCTTAGTTAACATTTGTTAATGTGTCTTAACTCCTATTCTTCATACGGGAATTTAGAGATTATAAAACTGGGTGGCTTGATACATAATTAATATGTGATAATAAAATGAAATCAATTAACCTTAATCCAGTGGTTTTATTTTGTTTTCTATATGTGTTTAAATAGGTGAATATTAAAAAGAGTATCTATTAGGAGTATGTGAAGTATTTATAAACTGGTTATCATAATTCAGAACAAGATAATCAGCAAATAAGCGACAGGTTACAGATATACTGAAATTAGGCTTCACTTATTCAATTGCCAATTAATTAAACTTGTAACACTAAAGAGACTAGCTAAATTTTCATTGAACAAGCAACATAAAAATACCCAATCTATCAGATACAATAAAAGTATATAACTACATAAAACTAGCAATGGAATTATGTGTAATTAACTGATTCTCGTGTTACTTCCTACTTTCTTATCGACAGTATTCTAGAAATAGTTTTGAGGGGAATGTGTAGGGAAAGTAGCGACATCGAAAACAGGAATAAAAGTATCTTTTTTTGTAAGGAAATATAAACTCATATATTTAATAAGAATTCAGCCTGTAAATGTTTAAGGTCGTTAAGTAGGATATTTATTACATATCACTCAAAGGTAAGTTACTATTTAAAATTCAGTCGTAACGTAGAACTTGGTATACATGTACATCGGTCCAAGTAGCCACACTCCATTAGGACAACGAGATCAAATCGTTAGGGCGAATCCAGTAGTACTAGAGGTAGTACCAATATTAGTGGTAATAAAAAAGGTTAGTCATCAAAGACACTATTAGGGAAGAAAATGTAAATTGATGAAATAAAAAAAATTATGAGGAATTGAGAAGTTTAGAATCTGTGAGAAGACAAAGAATGAATGCGCCATTGAGAACGGTTTCGAGCCATGTTATTCAAGGTCTTTAACCACCGGTTACGGTCATCATGCGGATCTTAACCGGGTTATACATACCTATTACGGTGGTTCAGTCCAGTTGTCGTTGACTTTATGGAAACCAATGCATCCACTGATCCTTGATGCTCATTAATCAATGATTAAAGCCAGCGACTGTCATGCTACAGTTTTTTTGCAACACATAAAAAAACTAATGGGAACTCAGGATGGTTATTTATGCTTATTTCCTGTTTTTTTTGGTGAGATTTAATATCCCTTACTCTTCTTCGGTTTATTAAATTAAAAGCATTCTTCTATATATCACAAAAATGCATCAAGTCTACACTGTAAATGGAAACGGTAATAATAATAATAATAGCCATATGTACAGTACGCATACCTCCTCCCATCGTGTACGAATAGTATTAACCCATTGACGTAAACGTTTCACAGCTGCTGGATGAGCTTGAGATAAAAGTTTATTTCCTAATTGTAAAGCAGCTTCAACTCGATCAGCTTGATTCATTAAATTAGAATGTGTTTGTCGATGAGCTGTAATTGCATCTGTTAAATTAGTTGGTGGATTGTTAGTGCCAGCAATTTCAATTTCCAGTTCGCCATCATCATCAAAGGTGGGTAAAGCAGCCAAACGATGAATAACACGTTCTGCACCAGCAAAATAATCCATTAAACTTCGACATGTATCCTGAAATTGCTGCGCCTGTAAGTGAAGACAATAGTATTTGTGAAATGTATCTACTTGAGAGGATGTTGATAACGTAAGTCAGTAATAAAATGTACGTTAACTTATTTGGCTTTAAGATACAATTTTTCTAAGAGGACTGAAAATCTACCAAGCTTCTCAAACTGATATGTGTGCGTTGAGTCTTCAACTTGTGAATTAATGATTACAATTTAAATGCCTCAACTACCTAATATTTAATATTTCACTATATAATTCGTAACATATAATGCTTTAAGTAATCTAAAATACCATGCAATGAAGATGCGTTTATCTGACAAGGTAATAAAGTTGTGTGATAAAAATACATAATTTGAATTAAATAACCTCGAAAATTTGAACAATTTAAAAACGGTTTCTTAATCAGAAACAAGCAAGCATTGGAAACTAAGGTGTACTTGTTGAGTCGTGTTCTATGTTAAGCTCATATAGTTTATTCTAGCTTGCGGGTAGACCAATTCTTTTTGAGTCGTATTTTGACCTCGTTAATTTTTCGCTTATCGACCTTGACTGTTTTTATGTAAGCGTTTGTGTGTGCAGTTCTTATCCTACTCAACATATGTCTGTAACTTATTTTTGTCTGACTATGAATATCGATCCATGTTTGGTTAAATCGAGTTGGTCAACACACACCTTCTTCACTGAGGGTCATTTAATTTCGCGGTGAGACTATAATTTATGGACGACCTCTAAGCGACGATAAAAATACCTTGAGGATGTCCATCTGCATACTACGGCTAAATGATGGTTATAAACCAGTGTGAGTAATTAGGATTAATATTTACGGTTGATAGATAGGGTTAGGAATTTGATTTAGGGTTCTCATCACGAAGTGACATCAGCTATAATGCCAAAACTATATTTAGCCAAGTGAATGGATTAGTTTCGCGCCAAAATTCAAGACCTGTTATCGTAAACTTGATTGGTTCGTCCACAAACTATAGTCTCACTAGTTTTGCTTCTCTCCTCTTCTCTTCCTTCGCTCCGTCTCCTTGACTGTCTGTTCAGATCAACGATTATATGAAATATACGTATTCAAACTTCATTCTCGTATTCGACTTATTTAATCCCGTTATTCACAAACATGAGTTAAGTCAATGATTATATACGAGGGTAGCCAGGATGTATATTTCGATAACTTGATGACAATCATTCGTACGATCCTACTGGAATCAGATATCGGGCCACTAAATACTAAACAGTCTGTTCTCAATACCCTATGACTACATAGTGTGACATAAGTTAAAGTATTTCAGGATTAAAACCAGAACCTCCAGTTATTATAGTGAGCACCCTACTGTTAAGCCAATAAGATGTAACCAAATGGTCAGTACTTCAATGTTTTACTATATATCGCTATCATTCTTCAGTGTCTGAGACAATGGATGACACTTTGTAGACGCCAGTCTCTAGCACTGGATGCAAATCAAGTAGAATATGAAACTAGAAAGCGATGATTGATAAAAAGAATAGACGAAAATATAACAAATGGAGTAGAGAAAGAGGTTGACAGTTTGACCTGCACCAAATCGTCGAGGGCCACATAGAAGTTCGCTATTTATTAAAAAAGACTAGCCCGCCTCTCTGCTTCTAGGATGTCAACATCACTGAACATGTGAGTTATCCACCGAGGAACAACATACTACCCCAGCATTGTGGTAAAGTTCAAAGAATAACCTTGTCCTCAAAACTGGGACATTCTGGCTTTGGTCAAGACATCCTTCATCTAGTATGTTTGTAATGGTAGGATCTGATGAAACAAGTGTTGTATTTAATATATCTGGAGATCATCGAGTTAAGGTAATAGCTACGGTTGGAATTCGCTATTACTTGAGAGAAGGTTTGAGATGCTATAGACCTAATACGATACATCTCACATATAAAGTGAACCTGAGAATAATTATGAAATAATGAGTCGGCATAAGTGAAAGAAACTGAAAAGTGGAATACATAACACAGAAAATTTGTTTTTCATGATTGGTTTTATGATTTGGACTGTCAGAGACAGTTGAGCTGATCGGGAGTTCTTAAAAGTCCACCTGCTTACTAAGCGGAAATGTCTATTGATAATTATTAAATACTGGTGGCATCATGATTACACTGGATCTCGTGACAAGCTATTATACAAACATAGTACAGTCACCATTATTATAAACAAACAACTCTAAGATGTATTTCAGAAAACGGAAATATTTTGGATTAATGTATGAAATTCCTATCGATCCATGACTTTTACACTAGTAGATTATGTGACAACCAATTAAAATAAATTGTGAAGTAGGTTAAGATCATTAGAAAATATTTGCATACCAGTTAATGCAAATATTACAAGGTGTTTACCCAAATATTACCATTTTTAATGCATGATCCAGTCGTTCACTTCGACGTTGAGTTAAATTCTGTACACGATCCCATATCTTGGATAAATGATTTAATTGAGCTTGCATAGCAAACACATCAGCTTGATTGCTAGCTGATGAACCAGCTCCAGAGTCAGTAGTAGATGAAGCTTTATTCATTAAATCACTGGCAGCTTGATGTATTAATTTCACAGATGTGGCACGTTGTTCCAGCTCAGCTTTGAAACGATTATGAGATTCTAACAATTGCTGAAATACGAAACAAATAACTTACATTTTCATCCGTATAACAGGGTTTTATAGGAAACTAATGTTTAAAATACAGAAAATGTGACCTAGTTGAATCAATTTTAAACAATAGCCGTGTATGTAGTTAATTTAGTCATCAACCCAACACCTAAATTAGTAATCACCAACAAGGCTAAGTGCAACCTCGAAGAAGAGGTTATACAACTTATCAGTGAAGTGAAGAAATTAGCATCGATCAAATTCATGAGCATATAAGTTACTTAATAGCATGGTTGGATCATAACTGATGAATTGGCTAAGTTGGTATTGGTTAAACAACAACTGATAACCAGCCAAAAAAGTTCAGTAAAGTTAGCTCAAAACTTTTCAATAATGTTCACAGTCGACCAACAATTATAATTAAGGAATGGCTAACCTCAACAATATCCACATCACCATAGTTTCCAGTTTGTTGTTCAGCTAGTTGTGGTTCAATCTTACTCAACCAATCAAGTAAAGCTTCCAATGCTTCTTTATAAAGACCAGCTGCCAAGAGAGCTTGTTCTAAAGTGCGTTGTCTAAAAGAGAAGGGAAAAGTTGGATATGACATGTATGTCTATACAGAAAATCAATGTCCCAAATAGTGTCAAGTCAGTCAATTGGATAGAATTCGTACGTTCATATTTTCTACAATTCAGTCACTTTTTAATGCGGTGTAAAATGCCCGTGCAATGCTCTGTAACTAATTTAATTTTGCTAGCTTTGAATCAAGTCGTTATTCGTTTCTTTTTCTGAAATCCGGAAACATGGCTAAATCATGAATCACTTGTTATCCCAGCAGTTCAAAACAAGGTCAGGAGATTTAAAGTTCCACTCATCCCATATAGTATACAATAAATGAAAACTAAATCATGAGATCATTAGTAACTAACTGCGAAGACTAAACCCAGGAGTTCTAGTGAGAATACGACCATGTTAGTAGCGAGGTATTTACTCATCAATAGCAGCGGATAGTGATTGCAAAAATATCATGAATTGATTGAAGTTATTAATTCAAACTACTGGATACCAACTCAGTGCTCTGTAAGTTAACCATCTGCCACGAGGCCTGAAGATTTTGGGTTGGATTTCAGTTGGATTCGTGGTGTGCACTTCCATAATAAGACGAAACGGCTGTTCAGTGATCCTCGACTTTCAATAAACATCTGACTAGGGTCAGTTAAATAGAGAGCCAATCAGAAGTGGAGAAAAGGTCACACGATGGTAACCGAAAGTGACCTAAAGGTCAAATGCATTTAGGTGGGGTCAATGGGTCAATCTTCTAAGGATAGAGTGGTATATATAGGAATGAGTAGTTGGGTATTTCACTCGGTATTCCAATACACTTTCTCGATCACTCGTGTGTTCTCGCTCAAGTAGTCAGTTGGAGGGGGGTAGTCAGCAAATCGCATATTCTGTATCAGTATCAGATTTCGGACACCACACGTCACAAGTCAGTTTGTGATTGATATTACAAAAATACGTCTATTAAGTGGCTCGTGAGATTATTGTCTAAACCTAAAATAGTCAATATCTTTATTCCGAAAATTCTAAATCGATACTCTTAGCATTATTAAGTTTATTATGAGCTTTTAACAACTTGGTTAAAATTTATACGAAAAACAAATTGGACAAGCTTGATGGGCCCAAACAACCGTTTAGGAAAAGCACTACTTACCCATAAATTACAGTAATTTTACATCGAAAAATCAATAGATGTACCATAAAAGTGAAAACTGTATTTGCTTCAAAGTGGTTAAACGAAAAAAAACTGTTCGGTAACCCACAGTTGTGTGCATTTTAAAGTATCTTCAAAGTAAGCAAATTTCTACTAATCAACTCACTGTGTATGTGCCGTTTGTTTCAAAGAATATGAACTGTTAAGTCTCAAAGATTACTGAACCATTCTAAATTTATCATGTTTCTATTAAATTATAAAAGGTTATTATTAAACTTGATTCTTTCTCTCGCCTTAGTTAATCAACATATATGACCTTTCATTTTTGGATTTCCTTGTAATAATTGTTGCTGTAATACCATATCGCGAAGATTAAAGCAATGAATAGTTACATAGACTATTTGAGATGATCATGACCGGTAGACTGATTTTTTACTGACGACAACTAAGCTCAAAAACGTGGTCATCGGACAACTGACCCGGTCCTCCATTAACAAAACTTCTACGCCTTGCAGCTAAATAGATCTCAGTTTCATTTTATTTATAGAGTGCAGTTCTTGCATTCTATGTAAACGGATGACATACACTTGTCAGCACCTTATTTTTTTAGCTGTCTAGTCAAGTTCTTTCAACTCCAATTCTCTAGTTCCTCCAGAGAGTAGAAGATCGAACACTGCTGAAACTAGTTTCAAACATTGACAGTGAATATAACAATCATAATGAATGCATAAATCATGAATGAGAAATTTTGTATTAGATCATATTCATTACTTGTTAAAAACTAGTTTATAAAGAATGACGATACGAATAAGTTCATACGAATTCATGAATAAAGTATGAATTTCAGATTTAGTTATAAATGATATTTAATAGAAGGTTAGAGATTATGAAATTACCTCGCTAAGGCTTTCGTACACACTGCTTGCCATAAATGCTTTAATTCACTGACCATATCATCTAATTCATCATGATCACATACTGGTGCTCTATCACGTAGTTGTCTAGCGTAACGACGCACTCCATCATAAGCCACAGTACGTGTGCTTAATGCTCGCTGTAATTCACGATGTAATGCTAATTGATAAGCGACTTTCTCAGGTCTTGTAGCGACACGATCACCATCTTCTTCCAATGAAGCTAAGTTTTCCTTTAACCAATCTGTTAACGATGTCCAGTTATCCAGAAAGTTACTGGCCTCCTAAAATTTAATCGAAAAGATCATATCACCTTTAAGTAAAATATCAAATCATTCGTCCGTTACTTAAGTGTTCCAGCATTATGAGCAAAAGTAGCCAGTCAATCTAAAACGTACCAGCACATTTAAACTTTAAGATGCTTTTATATAACAGTTAGTCAACTCATTATTTTTGCCAATACTTGGATCCATTCTTTTCTTTCTGTTCAAGAAGGTCGAATAGTTCAAACTGTCATTTGCTGTTATTATTAATTCCGGTTAATTATCTACGTTTTCTTAGTTGTATTTCACTCTATAAAAAGCCAATTAGCTACATAAAGAATCCCACAGTTAAGAATCACTCATCAATCTCTACAGCACTTTCAATACTACTTAAACAGTAGAATTTTTACAAGTTTACGTGACGTGAACACAGAGTGATTCAGTCAGCGAAAAGCAATTTAAGGTCGGAAATAAACGTGTTCATGTATTCAACTTTGAAAAGCACTTCTATTTGGGAATCAGTAATACTAAGAGGACTGTCTAGATCAAAGTATATCAAGAGAATTTCAATTCTGGTGAATAAACCATGGAAGTCAAGTCCCCTAAACAATGTGCATACGTGCCAACAAAATTGCCAAAGATGAGGAACTAAACAACACATTGTAATTTGTTGAGTTTCAGGTTGGGCGCGTAAATGAAGAGGAAGAGTGAACATGTGATGTGAGATAGTAAGGCACATAGAACACTATCTAGAAAAAAACCGGGGCATGTTTTACATAAGAAGAAGGAGAGTACTCATTCAGACGACTAAGAAAACTCATTGTCTTTTATTTTCATATTGGATAGCTAAAATGATCACGTAAACAAAATACTCCTTTATATTTGTCAAGATATATTTACCGTACTGACTATCATCCATTCATTTGCAAAGAAACAATATGCAGTAGACAAAACGATTTTTACAGGGAATAGACTATTCAGAAAATGAAAGAATTACCATGGTATTTTGAAAGAAAATGGAGAACAACAAACTAACCTTCAGACCAGTGTTAAGTTGACGTGTACGTTCTGCACTACGTGAAACTAATTGCTCCCATCTAGTATGAATACTAGATAAAAGATTTTTTACCAATATTACATCTTGTTTTTGTGATTGACATTGTATTTGACTTGCTAAACGATCTAAATTAATTAAAGCATCACGATGTCCAGTAATTTCTTTACGTAATTCAGTGTGATCACGTATTAATTGAAAAAGGCGAGCTACAATACGACTGACTGGTTTCTGTTGTAGTATAGTACGTTCCATTTGTGTAAGCCATTGCATCATTTGTGATAAATGATCATGTAATTCTTCGACTTGTTTTAAACCTAATTCCATACGGTCACGAATATCTTGAGCATGTTTTAACAACTGAGCATAATGGTCACAGAAACGTTCAAGATTAGTAGTTAATTGATTACATGACTCTGCTGCTGACTGATTAACTAACAATGCAGCTGAATTTCGACGCAGTTCATCAAGCTGTTTACGTAGGGAAAAAGAATAATAAAGCACGAGTTAACTTAAGCATGCATAAACATATAGCAACTACCCTACCAATTAATTTCGGTTAATCCCTTTTATTAACTTAACAGACAATGTTATTAGAACAATAACAATTCGCATACTTCTTTGTACTACTATGATCACCATTATATCTGTATAAACATGTATTCTTGATCATATGACAGCCTACGCACATCACTCTTTAGCTTAAATGTTGTTAGCTTAAATATCGCCCGATGATATATATATATATATAAGCCTTTGCCTTGCCTAGCTGTGCACTTATTCGATTTGACTATAAATTTGCCTCTGTATGTATTTGCTCACATACAAATTCTCCAGCCTGCCCCAAATTCACTCGATGTGCTTAAAGCTTTGTTATTCGTGCTATACGCTAATAATCTATAGTTGCCACTTCTTATTGCCTTCTGATTTCAAACACCGTGAGATTTATATAATAACGGTGATTGATTAACGAAGCAAAGCCACTACAAATAAAATGAAGTAATTACTACTGTCTACAATAAGCATATGACAAATAGTTGAAATACATTATTTACCTCTGATCCAATTTTTACAAGTTCATCATAAACTTCCATGAAGCGACGTAACTGTTCACGTGCACTATCTGGTAAACCACCCATAATGCGTGCACCTGGTGGGGGCATTCGACTTTTTAACTGTCGAGTGCGACGTATAAGTTGATCCAGTTGACCATGAAAATTAAAGGTCTACAAAATAAAAAGATTTGAGATCATTTGAAATATTGATGTCTGTAAGAAAACTGGAAAAATTGTACCGGAAGATATTTAACATGTTTGTTCCACGCAGTTAATTGGTAAGGTCAAATTTACTGCATTTTAATTCATTCCCTTCTTCCGGCTTCTACTATGCAATTAAAAGTTGTGTCTCCTACTCATCTTTATTTTGTCATCGTTGAAATAATGAAAACGTAGCTTGTGATATTTTCCAACAATTTACTTCCAAGATAAAGTGTCATCAATTATAGACAACGTGGAATGTACATTAGTTATAATTCTCTTTTTCTTATTCAATGACACTATGGGTTATTTTAATTCTCTTTTACTTAAACTAATATGAATTAGTCATAAAACAGTTACTGCTTTGAGTGAAACAGGTTATTTAAAAAAACTATCTGTACAGATCATCATACCTCACTCAATGCTTCTTCTAATGCTGCTTGTTTATTGCGTACGCTCAGTTTCAAATGTTCCCATGCTTTATTCATTTGAATAATTTATCTCGGATATCTGATGTTTTAAAATCTGAAGTCTGTGATTTTCTTTTTGACATCTTTATCAGTATCTACTCCAGAGGGTTTATCGATTTTGTTGCAATCAGCACGTTCTAATTTCCTTGCTTGTTCTTCTATTCTTACAACAGCTAATTGATGACTGTTAATATTGTGATGAATTACCTTAGTGACAAAGTAAGAGAGAAAAATAATTAACAAAGAAAATTATAAAACTACATAACTCATAATATTAAGCATTGATTAATAGGCAAAAATTCAGACTTAGTTACTTTAACTTCTGCAGTGAAAACATTTTAAGTTGTTAGCATTGTAAACTGAGATCGTAATAACTGAGTAAGACTAAAAATATACTTAGTTGATGAATGTAAATAAGAACGAAAAGTTGATCAAGTGCATACTATTGATCATCTTTAGATTTTCAGGCTAAAACATTCTACACATACAGAAACTTTAATGGCTGAATTCATTAGTCGATTTAAGCCTGACCTCCATGGAAAACCTGGAAGGATATTTCCCCATTTGTATGGGACTCTTCAGTGGTGTGCGTGCGGGATCGTGGATGCGCACTGCTGAGGAGTTCCATACTAGAGCGAAACGTCCGTCCAGTTCTTCCAGGATTTCCATGGTAGTCTAGCTTAAATCGACTCATGAATTCAACCATTAAATTACTACAATTTCCACAAACTCACATACAGAAACGTTATATTTTAGTAACTATAGTTAAATAAGTTTAGTAGGGTTTATGGTATTTTAACAGCTTCTATGTTATTAAACACCCGTATGATTTAACCCTACTTCTGAACAGGCTTTATTAACTCAGATATTATTTGACTACTGGGTCATTTTCGCCTTCTTAGTAACTCTATTGTCTTCATAGGAGATTATGACTTGTAGTACCACTACTTCATAGATTCATTTCCTTGTAAATCTATACCTATACATCTCATGTATGCTCGTATATATCTGTACTCTTATTTCTTCATCAAATGCCTGTCTCCTTATTGCATCATGAATTATTTGCTGTTATGTTTACGTTTATAACGAGTAATATTTTAAGTAGATCTGTTTTCTCCACTTCTTATCTCTTCGTCTATCTCCCGAATATATGAAATACAGAGATCCGAAACATTCGTATTTGAATTTTTATATCCGTGTTATTATTAGCGGGAATTGTCGTTATAACATATACGAAATTGAGTAAGATATGTTTCAATAACGTCAAGGTCATTCGATCGTTATGCAGTCAACAACAGGCACTAAAGCGAATGCTGTGATTAGACATTATTATTTCATAACTAAAGTATACTGAATTATTAGTCAGTTAATTACATTACCAAATGAATTACTCTTCTAGAAGCTTTTATGCTTAGATATTTTTTTATGTTGACCTTTCATGGACATCATTCAGTGTTGTCCTACTTATAAAGAAGTTATACAATATGATGTTGAGAAGAGTTAAAATAACATCACATTATATTAGCAAATACATATTTTAAAGTAAAGAATATTTAGTTAACACATATAGAGCATACGTCAGCTTCTAGAAGAATATCTGACCCCAAAGGATATTGACTAATAGACCATAACAACGTAATCCAATTTCTTAGCGAGTTCCTATACGTTCTGTATTATTGTAAATCAGATTTGCATTTCTGAATTCTAAACAGATATTATGCTGTATAACTTATAATCTACTTGTGTGTGAATAAATGAGTACTGAAAACAGTCTTGGTATTTTGAAAGTATGGAATAGTGTTTCACAATTTGCTAACAGCATCCCTTGTTAATTAATTTGAGAGAAAAGATCTTTTCTTTGCACTTAAAGTAGGCTCAATAAATATAGCTACTTGTAAGTAGTGTAGATATACTCAAAAACTTTTCAGGGGGTTGTTTATAATCCAAGATTTATGTAACAAGCGTATGGAGTAGCTTATAAGTCTACGAAACTAGTAAATGAATATGGCACATTCAAAACTCATTACTTCATCTCCATTTTCAGTATCAATACGATTTAGGACCATAACATTGTACTGATAGCGTGTGATAAGTTTGACAAATAACTGTTTAAGTATGAGTAGTTATGGCCAAAATAATAATTGTGATTATTATTCAAACCAATTTTATGTCCACAACCACATGAAACATAAAATAATATACATGAACACACAGAGAAATAGGTACACATTAACACCACATCCCACATAGAGTAAATTATGCAACATCCAAGTGATTATCACACATAATAAACAAAATAATATGAAAAAAGATAGGAAATGGGAAAAATGTGAGAAATGATGAGTTATTTGAAGTTAAAAGACATTCAATCAAAATTAAATAGTCAAAAACACATTTCTCACAAAATCAGAAATTCTAACTGGTTTTTAACTGAATTATAAACTTAAGTATTTAGAAATAGAGATGCTAAATCTGTAGATTAAACTAATGAGGAATATTGGAATCGCAACCTTATGCTTCTTAGTATTGTCTCACTTTACGAACCTTGTGCCTTAGAAGTATTTTGAAACTTTTCCATTAACTCTGGTATATACTTCTCTTAACACGAAAATTTTTACACAAAAAGGCTACTCAATAGTATTATGAGTTTGAATTCGTTCATTTCAAAAGCCTAATAAAATCATAACACTTGAAAAAATCCAGTCATTTCTGCTATTAAAAGTTAGTATCATCAACCGTTCGTTCACACAGGTTCATATTGAATTTTAATGGTGGACTAAACATTCAGGAAATTCCAACTTAGATGGTAGAATCAGTTATTTGGCCAGATTAAGACGATATTAAAAATGTGGGATTTAGATGGTGGTTGGAAGTAGTCAACAGGAAACCCTGGATCCGGGTTTCGTGCTACTTGGCACTCGTCAGCAAGGTGTACCTGTAATCTTGAGGGAACTGGTGCTCCCTGGCGGATTCGATCTCGTGTCACCCAGCTTCACAGTCAGAGACGTTACCACTGAGCTATCCAACCACCATCTAATCTCAATATATAGTGCCCGCAATGTCGAGTCACCTAGACTGGTGGCCACATTGCAACATGGTCGATATCATTCGATCTACACTAATAAGGACTAGACACGCATGACATTGATCGCCACCCAGTGATCAATGAATTGTGAAATGTGGATTTCTTTTTACCACAGTCGCATATTACTGTATAGAGATTCTACATTTAAAATATTAAGATATATATTATTAAGTCCTGTATCTTTTGAGAAATTCCTGTTTATAATATTCAAGAGTAATTTGGATATTTCTACTATAATAAATTTAGAAAATAAAATGGGCAAATATTTTTTATAGTTTCTTGTCACACTTTACATTACAATGAACTATATAGGTAATTGTAAGATATTTGTATAATCATTGTCACCATAATTCATTTCTAATTCGTGTATTATAATCTTGTTGATCATCAAAACAGTCTGAATGATCAAATGGCTAGTTTTATTTTTAATTGTAAAACATAAAGAAAGTTTGCTGAATTTAGGTATTCAAGAATGATTTGAGAAATATGCATGAATTACAGAAGACATTTTCTAAGTTAAGCAAATTGTTTGGGCAATACGTATGTTCCAGTAATATCCATTTTTTTTTACAAAAAATGAATTAATAGGAACTGTTAACTAGATATTTGTATTACCAACGCGTATCAAGTAGTGTAATAACCCATCCGTCATAAAGAAGCAGTTTTGTTTTCAAAAAGAGATTGGTATAAATAGTAGTTAAATAAAGTGTTGATGAGAATTAACGTCACTACTGACTAAGGAAATTAAAATGATTTTCAAGCCATGAACACTTCACTATAATTAATATAGGCTTAGAAGATTTATAGCACTAACGTTTCTATCCCATTCGTTCATCATACTATCAATATAACAAAATAAATAAAAGAATGGTGAAATATTAACTACAAAAAGGTTATCGAACCCAAGAAACAAATGACTTACTTTAATGCGTGCTAAATCAGCTTCTAATCCTCGAATATTTGCCCGACGTATAGGTATTTGATCTACAGCTGTTTGCATTTGATCAATCCATTTAATTAATCCATCAATAGCACTTTCAAATTCACCTAAACCAAGTAGAACAGTTTGTAAACGATGACGTCTACTATTGCCGGAATCTAATAAATTGTCCCATCGTCGATTAGCTACAGTTAGATCAGATTGTAATGATGTAGTATTTTGTACTGGAAATGTCCCGTCATCGCCTGTAAAAAAATCAGTAAAATGGAATAAAATGTAATGAGCATGTAATGTGCATAGTAATTTATTGGATATAAAGTGTATAAATCGCTAATTCACTTCCGAGTACAAATTTCATACAACTATCGGTCAGTCAGTAAGCTACAACGTAGGACCAGGCATATATATACATCGGTCCAAGTTGCCATACCTCATTAGCACAACAAGATGAACACCGGATTCATAAAAGTAGTTAAGTCAATGGTGGTAATATATAAAAGGAAGATTGCATATAAGGATATAGTACAGGAAGAAAGAATTAGTTCGTAAAAAGAAAGATATGAAGTGATTTTAATCTCTTAGTTTAGGGGAAGACAGAGAGTGTATACACTTACGCTATTGTGATAGATTCTGAGCCATGTCACTCAGGGTCTCCAACCATTGGTTACGACAGTCACGCGGACCCCAACCAAGTAGTCTGCATCTACCAATATGGCTCAGACCAGACGTTAGTAACTTCAAGCACTGATGCCACGTTTTGGTTTGGCTGCCCCTAACTTTCTCCCAACCATCTCCAACACTAGTCATACAATTATCACATTAATCAAACAATAACGGAATAATACTCCGCAAATTACCAACAAGGTGGACAGAAGAATGGAAAGGATAGATTGTAGGGGCTGGTACTATGTCAAGCACACAGGTTATTCTAGCCTTTGGACAGACCAATCTATTTATTTTCCTCAAGCCACATTTTTACCCTGTGACTTATTT